GTGGGACCAGAACTGCTACCCTGGGCTCTGGATTCAGGAGAGCGCTCTGGCTTTAGATGCAAGTCCTGGCCCAGCATTTACTCATATATGACATTGGACAAGTTAACCTAACTTAGCCTTTCTGGGACTGTTTCCTCTATAAAAGGGGGATCATAATATCCAACCTGAAACCATGCAAGTTAAAAAAAAAAGCTAGGCTGGGCGAGGTGGCTCATACCTGTAATCCTAGCACTCTGGGAGGTCGAGGTAGGTGGATCACTCAAGGTCAGGAGTTCGAAACCAGCCTGAGCAAGAGTGAGACCCTGTCTCTACTAAAAATAGAAATTAATTGGCCAACTAAAAATACATAGAAAAAATTAGCCAGGCATGGTGGCACATGCCTGTAGTCCCAGATACTCGGGAGGCTGAGGCAGAAGGATTGCTTGACCCCAGGAGTTTGAGGTTGCTGTGAGCTAAGCTGACGCCAGGACACTCTAGCCAGGGCAACAGAGTGAGACTGCCTCAAAAAAAATAAAAATAAAAAAGCTAGTACCAGCAATAAAATTTAGTGCAGTGAGTCAGGTACATAATTGTAGCTTCAAACTTAAGAGATCTCTTTCATTCATAAAAATAAGAACTTCATTAAAATGTTTTTTTTTTAGTAGATATCCAAATTGTGTTTAGTAATTTTGGGCACAACTATCAACACCAAGATCACGGGTCAAAATAAATTTCCAGAGGTGGTGTGGTGGCGCTCACCTGTAATCCCAGCTGCTCAGGGGGCTGAGGTGGGAGGACCAGTTGAGCCCAGGAGTTCAAGGCCAGCCTGCTTCCCTCCCAAGTAGCTAGGACTACAGGTGTGTGCCACCATGCCCAACTAATTTTTTTTATTTTTTGTGGAGACAAGGTCTCACTATGTTGCCCAGGCTGGTTTGAGCTCTTGGCCTCAATGATCTTCCTGTCGTGGCCTCCCAAAGCACTGGAATTATAAGCGTGAGCCACTGCCTGGCCCATGTTGACCATTTTAGTGGAAGTGTTGCAGGCAGCCGTCATTACCTTGGGATTAGAAGGGTAGAAATGTCCCATTGTGCAGATGTGGAAATTGAAGCTCAGAGGAATGAGGTAGGTTTTTAACAGGTGGGAGGTTGAGAAGATAGGAGTGACTAGGCAGATGTGGGCCCCAACTTGTGAGCTGTGTGGGTGAGTGGCCCCCAGGGTCAGAGTTCATGGTCCTTGACTCCACCAACCCTGGCCTACGTGACATGCCAGGACCTTCGTAGCATTGCAGATCCTGCAGAACAGATGGTCATGGTGATCAAAGCCCCTCCTGAGACCCAGCTCCAAGCTGTGGACTCTTCAGAAGTGAGACCTGGGACTCTAGGCCTGCCAGGACAGGCTGGGCTGGGCTGGGCTGGGCTGGTGTTCCCTGGGGCCTCAGTTTACCCTGTCTGCTGTCTCCACCCAGACTTTTCAGATCTCTCTTAAGAGCAAACAAGGCCCCATCGATGTTTTCCTGTGCCCTGAGGAGAGTGCGGGCGGGATCAGCCCTGAGAACACCTCGGCCCAGGGGGCAGCTTCTGGGGAGGAAGACAGGGCAGCTGATCCTGCCACCACAGTGCCACCACCGTCATCTCCCCCCTCATCCCCCACCACCGATCCTGGCCAGTCCCTGCTCAGCCTAGAGCAAGGTGGGTGAAGGGTGGGTGGGGCAGGGCCCCTCTTCAGGGTGGGTGGGCAGGCATGATATCCATCCCCCTCTGTCCTCCCTGCTGGGGCGTCCCGGGCCTGTGATGCTCCCCCATTTCCCCAGAACCGCTGTTGTCCCGGATGGGTGGCCTGCGGGCCCCTGTGGACGAGGACCGCCTGTCCCCGCTGGTGGCGGCCGACTCGCTCCTGGAGCATGTGCGGGAGGACTTCTCCAGCCTCCTCCCTGAGGAGTTCATCAGCCTTTCCCCCCCACATGAGGCCCTCGACTACCACTTTGGCCTTGAGGAGGGTGAGGGCATCAGAGACCTCTTCGACTGTGACTTTGGGGACCTCACCCCCCTGGATTTCTGACAGGGCTTAGGGGGACCAGGGTCTCCTGAGATGCCCACCCAGTGTCTGCAGCCCTGGAGCCCCCTGCCCCGGCCGTCCTCCCCACGCCCTGATTGGAAATGTTTAATTTATACTCCTCTCTCCTATCTTCAGTGGCGTCTAGCTCTGGGGTCTGGCTACTGCCAGGAGGCTGAGCAAGCCTGGAAGGGAAGGATTCTGTGTGTGTGGTGTGTATGTGCATGCACTCAACACCCTACACGTGTGTGCCTGGGCTGAGTGTGATGTGTGAGCATGTGTGCGTGCATGTACCGGGGAATGAAGGTGAACACATCTGTGTGTGCACTGCAGACACGCCCCAGTGTGTCCACATGTGTGTGCATGAGTTTACGTGTGCGAGTGGGGGGGCTCTAACTGCACTTTTTGGTCTTTTTGCTCCGGGGGCCCCACAAGGCCCAGGGTGGCCACCTGCTCCCAGATTCCTGTGCACTGACCAGGCCGTGCGGGGAGGCCTTGGCTGGCTGGGTTTGCAGGACAGCGAGAGCACTTCTGTCTTAAAGGTTTTTCTGATCGAAGCTTTAATGGAGCGTTATTTATTTATCAAGGCCTCTTTGGCAAGCCTGGGAACCAGCAAAGGGTAGGAGGGTGGGGCTCATACCCTGACTCCCTATACCCCTGGGTTAGGGCCCGGGTCCCTGAGCTGTTCTTTCACCCCACCCCCAAGGAGTTGAGGCCTGAGTGATTTATTTATTGGGAAAGCGAGCGAGGAAGGGAGGCTGACTTGACAGCCAGAGTGGGTGGATGGTGGGGTGGGCCCTCTCTAGGGGGCCACTTCAGCTGCCCCCCAGGATGGATATGAGATGGGAGAGGTGAGTGGGGGACCTTCACTGACATGGTGGGCAGGAGGGGTGGCGAGGGGTCCCTCCTGTGGTGTTAAAGTGCCCCCCCTTGTTGCTCTGCCCCACCCTCCAATCTGCACTTTGATTTGCTTCCTAACAGCGCTGTTCCCTCTTGCTTTGGTTTTAATAAATATTTTGATGATGTTTGGGCTGGATTCTGAGGCTCTCTTGGGAGCAAATCTGGGGAGGGGAGGGGCCAAGGTTGCTGGGAAAATGCCCATTCTCCACTTCCCTTGCTGTCTGATTTACTTTGATTTGAGCCCCATAATCCTAAGAAAGGCAGGCTCCGTCACCATTTTGGTCCTAACTTAAAACCAATACAGTAAATATTTTTGTAGAAAGTCAGGAATGCTACATTAGTGCAAAGTCATGAGTAAATTCTCCTTTCCCCAGCCCCAGAGTCCGCTCTGATCAGCGTTCTTCCAGACATTTCTGGGCATTAGTAAACATGCAACAGATATAAGGGCCTGGTTCTGTGTCAGGCGCATTCCAGTTCTGGGTACATGTGTGTTCCCTCTCCTCATGGAGCTCTCAGGGTCTGATAGAGATGTGCACAAATGAAAAATCAGAAGGGGCTTCCTGGAAGAGGTAATGCTTGAGCTGACAGCTGTAGGGTAAGTAGGAGTTAACCACAAGGAGCACACCAAGTAGAGACTAGTAAGGGCAAAGGACCTGGGGAAGGGGGAACAGGGCACAGAGGACCAGAGAGAAACCAGTGTGGCCAGAGTGGTGCTGGAAAGGGGAGTTCAGTCTTGGGTTTTTGAGACCCAGGGTTTTGCTCTGTTGCCCAGGTTAGACTATGGTGGCACCATCATAGCTTACTGCAACCTGGAACTCATGGATTCAAGCATTTCTCCTGCCTCAGCCACTGAGTAGCTGAGATGACAGGTGTGTACCAACACGCCTGGCCAATTTTTTCATTTTTTGATAGAGACAGGATCTTATTCTTGCTCAGGCTGGTCTCGAACTCTTGGGCTCAAGCAATCCTCCCACCTCAGCTCCCCAGAGTACTAGGGTTACAGGTGTGAGTCACTGCACTCTGGCAGTCTTGGCTTTATTCAGGGGATAAGGAGTCACAAGTCTGAGATGGGAGTGACATGTCTTGTTTTTTATTTTTGAGAAAGAGTCTCATTTTGTTGCCCAGGCTAGAGTGAGTGCTGTGATGTCAGCCTAGCTCACAGCAACCTCAATCTCCTGGACTCAAGCAATCCTCCTGCCTCAGCCTCCTGAGTAGCTGGGACTATGGCATGTTCCACCATGCCCAGCTAATTTTATTTATATATATATATATATATATATATTTTAGTTGGCCCATTAATTTCTTTCTATTTTTGGTAGAGACGGGGTCTCGCTCAGGCTGGTTTCGAACTCCTGACCTTGAGCGATCCTCCCGCCTCAGCCTCTGTTTCATATTTTAAAGCTCCCTCTGGCTGCTGTGTGGAGATTGGATGGATGGGAGGGGAAAGTGAAGGCCAAGTTGAACTTCAGTGCAGGAGAGGGTGGGGGTGAGTTGGGCCACCCGACCAGGGGGAGAGTCGTCCACATGAACCTGTGTAACAAAGCCTTCGGTGGGCTTCCTCTGATTCAGTCCCTATTTTAAGCATCTTACGTTTCATTTACTGAGTCCCAGCAATAATCTGGGGTGCACGTTATCCCCAATATTCAGACTGAGGATACAGAAGTCCAGAGAGGGGAAGTCCCTTGTATCACTTGTGTCTCTAGTTGGCCGGTTGTACCTAGGATGGTCTGGGGCTGCCCTCTGGGCGGGCGTGCCCAGCCCCTGCCATCCTGGCGGTCAATACTTCTGGGCAGGCCCGCATGTGCTCATCCTGTCGCGGGTGGAAATGACCCCTCGAGTGGTTCGTTACTCTGCAGTGGCCACCCCGCCCCCCAACCGGAGGCTCCAGTGGCGGAACCGCGGAGGTAATTGGAGTTGGAATTTGACGTCGTGCAGCTTGGACTTTGCACTCATTTTCCAGACAGGGAAACCGAGGCCGGGGCGGGCTTGCCGGGCCGAGTTCCCGGCCGGGGGCGGGGCGGGGGCGGGGCCCGCGCGTCGGCGCCAATGGGCGGCCGCCCCCCAGCCCCACCGCGTCCGCGGCGGCGGAGCCCGGGGCCGGAGCGAGCCGCAGCCGAGCCGAGCCGAGCGGGCGGCGCCATGGCGTGCGCGGGGCTGCTCGCCGTGTGCCTGCTCCGGCCGCCCGCGCCCCGGCCCCCGCGGCGCCCCGAGCCCGCGCCCGACGCCGGGCCCGCCGGACACGCGCTCTTCCAGGACGTGAGTGGGGCCTCCCCAGGTCGCGATCGCGTCTCCCCCGTGTCTCGCTGGCCCCGTCCTGCGTCTGTCTCTGTCTCTATGTCAGGGTCTCTCCCTCTCACTACTGTCTGTCTGGGTCTCCCTTATCCTGACCTCGCTGCCTTTGTGTCTTCTCTGTCTCTCCGAGTCTCCCCTTGTCTCTGCTCTAGTGTCACTGGCCCTGATGCCCCCTACCCCCAAACCCACCCATCTGTGTGTCTGGTGGGGGTGGGGGCTGTCAACACAGTGGGTGCAGTCACTGTGCCCACTCTGGTGGCCCCAGGCTGGGCTGGCAGGGTGGGGGCGGTGGAAGCATAAGGAGCTCCTCACTCCTGACCCCAGTGCCTCAGGCGCGACCCGCGGGCAGTGGAGTCCCACAGTTGGTAAAGGCTGCCCAAGCTATCGTCTGTCATCTGGGCCCCCCTCCCATGGGGCACTGGTGGCCCAGCAGCCCCTTCTCTACCCTGTCCTGGCCCTCTCGTGTCCCCACTCCAGAGGTCCCCAGCAGAGGGAAAGGCTGTGTCACTGCCCCCTCCCCACTGACCCCAGTGACTCAGCACCTTGACCACAGCCCACCTGGCTGGAAGGGACCCTCCCATTTCCCAGGTAGGAAAACCAAGGCCTAAGGGGTTATGTCCCAGGTCACTCATGGAGGCGGGGACACAACAGGGTATGGCCCCAGGTGTCCTCATTCCCAGCTTAGCACTCCTGTCCCCACTACGTATCTCCATCTACCCCACCCAGACCTCACTGGGCTGCTGTGTGCCCGTAAGCCAGTGACAGACCTTCTCTGGTCAGGTTAGGGGTTACAGTCATTCCTGAGCCTCACTGACCCTGAGACAACGCTGGAGGGGGTTGGCACTCAGGACCTGGAGCCCATGGGGGCGCTTTGCCCAGGCTTTAGCCTGCCCTCCTTGCCAGGCCTACTGGTCTCCCCCTTGCTGTGCTGCTTTAGGTGACCTGGGAGTGCTGGTCCCTGCGAGAGGAGCAGAATCTGTCTTGATTCCGCTCCTCTCTGCCTCTGTTGCCCTTTATCTCTGCTTCTCCATAAATAAAACCTGCTGACCCTGCCTTCTGCCACCCTCGCTCCCCCTCGCACGCGTACACGAATGCACACGCCTTTCCAAGGCCCTCACAGACTCAGCCTCATAGGAAGCCCCAGCCCCCAAAGGGTTAAGCCCAGGCTGCTCCCCTCTGCGCCAGTCAGAAAACTGAGGCACCTGCAAAGAAAGGACTAGCCACTGCCTGGTGTCTGTCTCCAGAAAGCAGGCAAGGCAACAGCGCAGAGCAGAGAAGGTACCGTCTGGGATAGACCGCGGCCACTCAGCAGAGTTGCGGGTTCAGGTCTGGGGCGGCTGCCCAGGATCCTTGGGCCGCATCTTGGCCCATGTCCCCAAACTTCCTCAAGCTGGGACCGTGCCAGGGGCTGATGCATCAGACAGAACTTGGGCTGGACTCTGGGTGTGGGAGGGAGGGCTGCAGGGAGCCTGCCTGCAGCTCCCCTCCCTGGGAGGCCAGGCCCTGCAGGAGAAGTGAGCTAGGGTGGCACCTGCTGTGTGCTCTTCCTGTGTCTCCTGCAGGAGAAGCTCCTGCCGGGCTGAGCTGGCCAGGGGGTTGGGACCAGGCTGGGCAGGAGGAAAGGCAAGGCAGGGGGCAGGCAGACCAGCTGGAGCCCTGTCGGGTGGGGTGGGGGCCTCTCGCCTCCCAGGCCCCACTCACAGCTCCCTCCCCCCACCCCTTGTCCTCTAGGTTTTCCGCAGAGCAGACAAGAATGGTGAGTGTGGCTTCCTCTGGGTCCCACAGAGGGAGGCATGGTGTGGGACATCCAGTGGGCCCAGGGGAGAGTTGCGTGGTAGGGAGGGCACCGTCCAGAGTGGAGAAAAATCTTCAAGAGAATCAATGGAGGCATCCTTCCCAGAAAAAGTGTGGTCTGAGCCAATTTGGCAGGACGGAGTGCAGAGGCAGTGTGGTTTGGCCAGGGGCTGGCGGCAGTGGCTTGCTTTCACGTAGCACCCTGGAACACTGATAGCTATTTGCTGTACATGACCTCCTGCTGTCCTCACAACCACCAGCTAGGTTGGAATTCTTCACCCCATTTCACAGAGGAGCTGAGGCCCAGAGAGGTGAAGCAGGCTGCCTGAGGTCACACAGCCTTTAACAACTGGTAGGCCTCGAGCCCGGGTCTTTGTGACAGTTGGTCCCAGGCTCCCTGCGTGAAGGGCTTGGAAGGGTGAGGTACCGGAGACGAGGCCCACTGGGAGATTTTACTCCAATATGTAGAGGGCCTAGTAGCTTCCCAGTGACCGTCTGGACCCAGGGCAGGTATGGAGGACAGTTAAACCCACCCCTTGGGCAAGGGTAAAGCTGGGTCCAGTGCCCAGAGGCTCAGCTCCCCCTGCCCTGGGTCCTGGGTAGTCTCAGGCCCTGGCCTGGGAAAGCCTTGCAAGTTCAAGCAGAGGCCTAGGGGATCCAGCCAGCAACAGGTCGCTGCCCCTGGATGGCCCGGAGCAGCTGCTGAGCCCTGAGTTCCTTTCATCGGGGTCTTCAGACCTTCTTGTGTCTCACCCTCCTTGAGACAGGGTCATGTCCCTACTCCTTGCCCCTTCTCCTTGGGTCTCTTCAGATTGGTGGAGATCTTTGTCCCAGCCTATTGTCAGGACACCTGCCCCCACTTGGATCAGGGCCTTCTGGCGGGGGAGACTCGGACCCTCCCTCGGCCCGGCTCCCCCACCCATCAGCTCAGAGACCTTGCACCTCATTCAGGCCAAGGCCCCAGTGTCTTGGGGACACGATGGGGAGCTCATTCCCTCCTGAGCCAGCCTGCTGCTTCGTTTAGAGGCTCCAACTCTTAGGAAGATTTCATCTGCTCTGTGGCTTCTCTGTGAAGGTCCCAGGTCCAGAGCACAGAGGTTCCCTCCATCGTGGAGCAAGGCTGGCCAGCATCTGGGGCAGAAACTTGGCTTCCAAGTCCTCCCGAGTGACACTGAGGCCCTGCCATGCTCTGGCCATGTCCCAGCCTGTTTGTTTCTTCATTTAGCTAACATTTATCCTACCCAATGCCATGTGTGTACTGCCCCGTCCCCTGGGTGCCTGCAAAGTGGGTCCTGTTGCCTTCAGTGGACACCTTTGAGGACCTCAGTCCTTTTGTCCCCAATAGTCAGACCCCCACTGAGCTCAGTCTCCCATCCCTCCTGGCTGGGTGGCTGTGAGATGTGACGAGGCCTCTGGGGGCCGTGGACCTGGTGGCAGGGGTGCAGTCAGGGGTCAGGGATACCTACTTTGCTCCCTGTCCTCCCCCTACCCAGATGATGGTAAGCTCTCATTTGAGGAATTCCAGAATTACTTTGCCGATGGGGTTCTCAGCCCAGGGGAGCTGCGGGAACTGTTCAGCGGCATTGATGGGCGTTTCACAGAGTGAGTACGAGACAGGGGATGGTTGGGCCATGCGTGGATGCCAGGCTAGGTTGTCCCTACCCCACTGTGTCCCCTGCTGCCTCTGTTCTTTTTGGAGGACTTTTGCGGTTGGGGGCAGGGAGAAAGGTGCTAAGGCTTGGTGCCAACTTAACCAGCCCACCCACCCCTCCCCAGCTCCAGCCTTGCCCACTACACTGCTTCCAGCTGGGACCCCAAAAATAGCCAAGTCTGAGTCACCACCCATGGCTCAGCCCTCCATTCCTGATTCCTGCAGGGACCAGAGGATGCCTGGGGACAGCTGGGCCCCGCCTGTTTCCACCCAGTAATGCAGGTGCACGAACACACACACACCTCCCTGCGTGTGCTCCCACGCATACACGTCTTGGCAAGAGCGTGCATGCCCCTCTCCGTGCTCCCTCACATGGGTGCACACACATGCACAGCTGTTACTTCTTCGCACTTCCCTTTTCTCTTTAGGAGGCATTCAAGGCTCCTGACACTTGGGCTGGAGCCTTTGTCTGCGGTGTTCCCTTTCCCCCACCGCCAGCCTCCCCAAATTCCTTGTCCTTCAAGACCTAGTTTGGGCAGCCCCCTCTCTAGAAGCCCTCGCTGACCTAGGAAGTGAATATCCCATTCCCCGCCTGGTCCTGACTCCCCTTCCCAGCTCTGACCACTCCTCTCGGGCCCTTCGGTCCACATCTGTCTACATTGGTCTTCCCCTGGCCTGAGGTCCCCTTGGAGGCCAAGAGGGGGTCTGAGCCTTTGCCCTCAGAGCGTTTGACAGGGGCAGGAGTACCCTGTCTCCTCCCCAGCAAGGACTCTGCCCACAGAGCAACTTGATCTGGGCTGGGGCAGGGGTCACCTGCTGGTCACCTGCTGGTCGGCTGCTGCGGTGGGAGTTGGTTGGGAGCCGGGCGTTGCCTTCCCTGTTTACCCGGCCCGGTCTGAAGGGCACCCTTTCTTTTCCCTGCAGCAATTTAGAAACGGAAAAACTGTGTGGTGAGTAGGTCCATGGGAGCTCTTGTCTCCCGGACCCCCTGGGTGGATGGCTGTGGCAAGGGGGTTGTTGGTGGTCACCTGATGGGACAGGACAGGCTGGGCTTGGGATAGGATGCCTCCTTGGTTGCTGAATTCCAGGCTGGGTGGATGGGTTGGGGGCCCAGGAACCCTTGAGCACCAACTCTGCCCACAGACTACTTCTCAGAACACTTGGGTGTCTACCGGCCTGTGCTGGCGGCGTTGGAGTCGCTGAATCGTGCAGTGCTCACTGCCATGGACGCCACTAAGATGGTGAGTGCAGTGGCTGATGGCGGGGGGCCCACAGTGAGGCGGGGGTTTCTGCTGGCCACTGTCTTGGCCCGGGGCTATGGAGCTAGAGGCCTGGGTTCCAATCTTGGCTCTCCCACTTTGTGCCTGTGCCCCCTTACTCTCTGGGCCTCAGTTTCCTCATCTGTGAACCAGGGATCATAGAGCGAACCTCCACAGTCGCTGGAACCCCAGGGCATGAGAAGGGAGGCAGGGAGGGACTTTTGTGTTTAGTTCTCTGCTCCGCTCCTAGCACCCAGAACAATGCCTGGCACACAGTCCCTGCTTCGTACCAGGAGCTGCCGTTGCTGTTTTTATTACTGGCCGTTGTAACTGTCGTGGGACTTCAAGCAGACCAGGACCCAGCAGGGATGAGCTGGGGGGTGGGGCGGTGCTGCGCTCACGCAAGTCCTCAGGCTCATGCTGGTGCATGGAGCCTATGGGGTAGGGTCTGGCCGCAGGACATATGTGAGTAACCAGGTCTGTGTGCACCTGTGTGTTTGTGCGCATGTGTGGACACGTGTGTGCACAAGCGTAAACAGTGCTGACAGCCAGCACTCCAGGACCTTGTGTGGTGACTTCAAAGAATAAGCTACCCCACCCTTTGTGTGTTCCTTTTAAGAAATGTCTTCACCTCCCTTTGCCCCATAGCTTTTATGAGGGGGAGGGAGCAGTGAGCCTGACACTGCCTTTTACAGGAGGGGAAACTGAGGCCCTTGGAGTCAACTATCACCTGAGCAAACAGCTGGGGACAGGGCTTCTCCTGGTTGCTTTCAAGTGAGCGATTTAGTAGCTTTTCACAGCTGCCCCTTGGGACCTGGCATGGAATGTGTGTCCAAATGGTACATGATGAGGGGCTGAGGGGACTTCTCTATCTGTAATGTGGACACAGTGGTGGCATCACCTTCCTTGTTGCCATGGAAATGGCCCTGGGGCTGGGCAGCTGGACTGGCATTCGCTGAACTGGCAGTGGTTGGGGGAGTCAAACTGCAGGTCAAAAATGAGGGTCCCATGGCCTCTAACCACCTTCTCCAGGCCCAGAAAAGCGTGGGGGTGGCCCATCGATACACAATGACCCCACCAGCTCCAAACATGAGACTCTTTATCTGGCACTCAGTGCTTCTGATAGAGCTGCACCTAGTGCCCAAGGGCTCTGCAGCCCCCGTGGCACCACCCCCTCCAGTCCAGCCTGACTCAGTTGAACACTTCGTGCACCAACCTGGAGCCACACTCCTGGTACATGCCCCGGGTCATCCAGCTACGTTGGAAGGAGCCCAAGGAGGCCACCATGGAGCCGCCTGTCCATACGGCCGTGCCACGCCGGGGCTTGGCCACCAGGTGGGGCCGCAGGGCCGTGAAGCCGTTCCCCTGGCACTGCGCCTCCAGCTCCTTGCACAGGCGCTCGGCGAAGCCAGGGAAAAGAGTGGAGCCTCCGGCCAGCACCACGGTGTGAGCCAGCCGCGCCCGCAGTGTTGCGGGCATCTTCTTCAGTGCTTCGAAGGCCAGCACGTGCAGTCCCGGCTCAACATGGCCTACCAGGCCCGGATGGAAGATGGGCTCCGGGCAGCAGAAGCGCTCGCTGCTTAGGCGGATGGAACACCCATTACGCATTAAGAAGCTGGCCGGACGGTGGCGGGCAGGGTTTTGCAGATCGCGCTTGAAGTCCAGTGACACGTAGCAGCAGCGCTTTTTGAGCTCTGTGACGGCCTTGCGAGACAGGGCCTGCCCCTGGAGGTCGGGGCACCCTGATACCAGCAGCTCCCGCAGGTAGCGCGACAGGGTGCTGCCTGCAACGTCCAGCCGGAAGGTGGCCTCGTGCCACGAGTGGCCCGCATAGATGGGCGTTGCGTGGCACACGCCCGCGCCCGCCTCCACTGCCAGCCCGGTGAACGCGCCGGTGGAGCAGAGCGCCAACAGCGCGGTGCTGGCCATGTGGCACGCGGGCACTGCCAGGGCCTCGAACAGCAGCTCGGCCACCCTCTCGCGGCTCGCGGGCGGTGCCGATGGCGAGTCGCACACCAGCACCGGCCACTGCTCTGGGCACACCCGCAGGCCGCCCACCAGCAGGCGCTCCCACAGCCCTTCCAGCGCTTCCCAGTCCACCACCACGCCGTGCTTGATGGGGTGCGCCCGCGCCACGCCGCCCGCCAGCTCGCAGCCGGGAGCGCCGGGCAGCGCGGGCCGGTCCCAGCTGGGCACCAGACTGGAGCTCTTCAGCACGACGCGCGGCTGGTCCTCGCCCGCGAAGCCCGCCTTGCTGAAGCCCGAGCCGGGGTCCACCACCACAGCGATGTGGCCCCGGGAGGGCCGCCTGCGGGCCGACGCCACCTTCCGGGCTCGGCCCCGCCCTTCGGCGAAGGGCCCGCCCCTCCGCGCGGCTGCCCCTGGTCCGCGAGGCCGCCCTCTATCCTCGATGGATGGGACCCTGGCCGCGAGTCCCGGGCCTAAGCGCCTTTTTCTGGGCCAGATAAGTATCCTCTCCAATCCCCGACTCCGCCCCCGAGCGCGAGGCCCCGCCCCTGGCTCGGTGTCAGTCTCCGCCCGCGCTGGGCCCGCCTCTCAGGACTCGCCTCCGCGGTGCGGCTCCGCCCCCTCGGCCCAGGCTGGGGTCGACGCCGGGCGCGCCGGGCCAAACCCTTTCAGGCGTCGAGAAGCCGCCCGGAGGAACGGAGCTCTGGGAATGGAGGCGCCTTGAGGCAAGGCCATCTGAACATATATCCCCCTTAGGCACCCAGGAGTCCAGCCCAGCCCTTGAGCCCCAGGCAGCCTCCTGGCATCCCTCACTTGGGCTTGGCGGCAGGAGTTCCTGGTTGTAGAGGTGGAGGGGCTCTCAAAGGAGGAAGGAAAAAAAGAACTTGGATTGGACTCATTGTGACCTCAGTCCTCAGCACTGGCGGCGCTAACACAGCCCCCACCCCCCATGAAAACTCCTGGACCCATCGTCTCTCTTGGACAGGGCCAAGGGCAGCGACTTTAGCATCCAGGGGTCTGGCCTCAGCTGCCCAGCACGATGCCTTCCCGAAACGGCGCTAAGAGAAAGCTCCTAATAAGATCTACAGCTACGCTGAGGATCTCTGTGTGCTCAGTCCTGAGGGGCCCAGGCAGCCCATGTAGGGGCTCCATCTTCAGGGGCTTCCTTAAGTGGACTCACGTGGGCCTGAGTTGATGACTTAGTTCTGAAACTGACACCACTGTGCAATCTTGAGCAAGTCCTGGTTTTTCTCTGGGCTCAGTTTCTCTCTCCAAAAGATAGTAGTAATCATCACACACAGAAAACAGGCCGCTTGTCTCTGCAAAGCCTCATTATTGTGTTTAGGACCAGCTTGGTTGCAAGCAGAAAACTCAGGTGAACGTAAGCCAAAACAGGGATTTTTATTACAAGGATCTTGTCTTAGGGATACCAAAGGCAACGGTGAAATCAGGTTTCAGGAGTAGGGTCTGACCATAGGGCTGTGGGGAACCCAGGCTGTGCACTGTCTTTGCATTGTGGTTTTTTGTTTTGAGAAAGAGTCTCTCTCTGTTGCCCAGGCTAGAGTGCCGTGGCGTCAGCCTAGCTCACAGCAACCTCAAACTCCTGGGCTCAAGCAATCCTCCTGCCTCGGCCTCCCGAGTAGCTGGGATTACAGGCATGCACCACCATGCCTGGCTAATTTTTTTTCTATATATTTTTAGTTGGCCAATTAATTTCTTTCTATTTTTAGTAGAGACAGGGTCTCCCTCTTGCTCAGGCTGGTTTCAAACTCCTGACCTCGAGCAATCCTCCCATTGGGGTGATACAGCAGAACTCTGTCTCAAAAAAAAAAAAAGTGCATCTTCAGCAAAAGAAGCTGGCTGGTGGCTCTAGTGATCTGGGACCTTCACCCCTACTGTATCTGCCCCCAAAAGGGGCATTCGGAAGTTGGTCACCAGTGTGTGGCAGGAAGGCAGTCTGCAGGTTTGGCAGGGCTGGCGTGGCATTAGGGTGTGGAACTGGATTTGGGACCCAGGAGCATGAGAAGCAACTGGGTTCTGCCCACAGAGAGTGCTTGACCTCATGTGAGTGATTTAGGAAGTGAGCCTCACACTGGAGACCGTAAATGGCAGTATGGCTTGGAAGCATTGTGACCGTAGTCCTCAGAAGCTTCCTCCCCACCATGAAAACCCCCGGGACCCACCCTCTTTCCTGGACAGGGCCAGGGGCGGTGATTTTGGCATCCAGGGGTCTGGCCTCAGCTGCCCAGCACAACCAGTGGTTTGGAAGATGACTTTGGCTGCAATGTGGGGAAGGGGATGGGACTAGGTAGTTTGAGAGACGAGGGCTGAATTTGACAGAGGTTACCTGGGGAAGACTGAGGGGGCGGGGCGCGAGTGCTTGGGGATTACCAAACACAGTGGGGCAGGAGTGAGGGACCAGAGGCCCAGGATTCCCGCCTCTCCCAGGTGCTTCCACAGGCAGAACCCGGGTCTAAGGCCGCACCCCCGCTGACTGTGGCATCCTGGCTGTTCCAGGATTCTGCCTGTCTGTCCGCGACACTCCCTCTACCTAGGAGGGATTTCTGAATACTGGGGACTCTTGAAGGTGTTAGGCCTTTAATGGAAGCAGGTCCCTCCTCCTAGCGCGGCCAAGCCTGGGCCCTTGGGCCTGGCGGGATCTGCTCTGGGTCTGGAATGGTGGAGGAAGGGGAGCAGCCTGCGCCACTGTAGCAGGGTGTCCCCTGCCCAGGTCAGGGATGGGCTCTGGTTCCGACCCTCGGCACGACGGACGGGCCTCGGCTTTGCGGGCGCACCCCGGCCCCCTCGCCCCAGGGCTCCGACAGAGCTAGCAGGCGCCGGGTTACTATGCGCTTTTATTGGGCCGGGTCCCGGGGCGGGGGCGGGGGCGCGGCCGGCGCTCAGGGCCGCGGGCGGGGGCGGCGGCGCCCGTCCTCCTGCAGCCGCGCGTCCAGCAGCAGCAGCAGCAGGACCAGGATCTTCTTCATCTCGGGCGCGCGCGCGCCCTCGCGCCGCTCCGCGCCGTCGCCCGCTCCTCGCAGCATGGGCGCCTCGGGCGACACCCCCGCGGCGCCCGGCGCGTCCTCAGCCGGCCGCCCAGCCTCCGGCTGCTGCTGCCACTTGTCCAGGGGGAAAAGCAGCACGATCTTGGTCTGGGGACGGGCAAGGGCGTGAGGGGAGAGAGCTCACCCGCTCGGCTCCTGTCTCCCAGGACGGCCCCTCTACGAGCCCGGGCTGCCGTCACCCCGGGCCGGTGGGGAGACGCGCGCCCTTCCCTGCTGCACGCCGGGGACCACCGCCCCTCCTCTGGAAACCCTCGCCCACCCCAGGCCGACTTCCTGAGACCCGGCTCCGTCCACGTCTACGGGATCCCGCCTGCCCTCCCGGCCGTGACGCCTGGGCCCGCCCCGCCCGTTGGAAGGGGGAGGGTGTCGCAAGCTGGGGCTGGGGGCTGAAGACAGCGCGGAAGGGGCGTCCCGTGCCACAGCCCCAGTAGTAGCAACCAGGGCGGACTGCCCACGCCGGCACCTCCGCCCGCTTGTCCGGGCGTGGGAGACTCCCTCTCGCGTCCACCCCTCTGGGCTCCCCGGTCTCACCTGCCCTTGGTTTCTGGAACCCTGCCCTACCCTCTGGCCTTCTAGGACCCCATCCATACCCGTCTAGGCTCCTGGGACCCGCATCTTTGCGAGGGATTTTCTGACCCTTCTCTTACCCCCAGGACTTCCGCCCACAAGGCCTCCTAGCATCCCTTCCTGCCAGCCTGTCCAGGGTCCCCTGACCCCTGCCTGCCTCACCACCTCGCCCCACCCCTACACTCACACTCTGCTTCTTCCTCTTGAAGTGGCTGAAGAACTGTTTCCACCGGGCCTTGTCCACGTCTGGTGGCCTCTCCTTGCAGGCCTGTTTGGGTGCTTTCGTCCTTTTCTGGGAACTGTTGTTTCCCATGGCAGGGCTGATCACCACTGGGGGCTACAGCCTATATACTGCCTCTGCCTTGTCCTCTGGGCCCTGGCCCCGCCCTGTTCTGGGAGGCCACATTGTGACCTCATAAGTTGAGGTCACCAGTTCCAGGGTCCGGGCTTCTCTTCCCAGAATGCACAGGTGAATCTGGGCTCCATTCACTCTGTGACTTCTCCTGGCCTTGGTTTCTCAGCTGTAAAACTAGGCTAATGATTTATAAGCGAGGCAATGCATGTGAGGTGATTAGTGGGGAATAGAGAGGAATTTCTGTGGCTTCCGTTTGAATTCTGGCCCTGCCACTAACTTGGTGTGTGATCCTGGCCAAGATTATTAGCTTCTCTCGGCCTCAGTTTTGTCATCGGCCTCAGTTTTGTCATCTGCAAAATGGGTTCAATTTTGGTTCCTGTATTGTTACGAGGGTTAAATGAAATTCTTGGAATAGCGCCTGGCACAGAATGGGTGCTTTTGTCATCAGGCTTTTTGGTTGCAAGCAACAGAAACTGACTGATCATCTTAAGTGCCAAAAAGGGAATCTTTTGGAAAGATTTCTTGGCGACAGAAACCCTGGCCTCTCGGAGAATGAAAGGATCCAGCTTCCTGTCTGTCCCTGTCTCCCAGCTCATAAGCCTGGCCCAGGATTTCCCATCTCCTGGCTGAGCTGAGGAGGTCCTGGGCAGGAGATGGACGGAGCCTCTGGATTCCCCCTGTAGAGGGAGGTCAGGCACCTGGGTGGTGGGGAAGTGGTGGAGGTGAGGCGATTCTTGGGACACCCGTGACTGTTGGGTATACAAGTGGCCATGTTCCTTAGTAGTATTATGTTTGACAACAAAAATTTTCTCCTGGTATCGGGGACTTAAGTTCCAGGCCCTGGGCTAAATCCTGTGTAGGAATTAACTCCTGGGGGCCTCCCAGCAGCTCAGTGTTATCATTCCTGCTCTGTAGATGAGGAAACTGAGGCACCAGAAGGTGCGGGGAGCTGGGGAGTCTGAGAATGCCAGGATGGGCGGCGCAGGGCCTGGTGCATGCTGGCCCCTGCCTCTCTGCCCACCTTGGGAGGGGCTGCGGGAGGCTGGTGATGTGGGTGGGGGTCAATACTGGGGACAGTGAGTGAGGACAGCGACTCGGTTGTCTTGTGTCTGCAGCTCCTAGTGAAAAGGGCTCAGTAAACGTTTGTCACATGGACAAACGAACGAATGAATGCACGTGTGGATGTGGGTTTTGCCTCCTGTGTCAAAGTTGGGCCCTGGAGAGCCTGTGACCAGCCTTCACCAGCCTAGCTGTCCCTAGGACCTCCCAGCCATGGTGATGCTGCAGGTGGCAGCCCTGACGGGGAAGGGGCCATGAGGTCCACAAAGCCAGGGTGCCAGCTGGCAGCCGCCTCCCTGTGAGTTGGTCTCACACCCCCAGGAAGGGAGGCCACGCCCACATGAGGAGGGTCCAGGCCCTCTTTTCCCGCTGGCCTTGGCATTGTCCTGCCCCCGCCAGGGCTGCATGCCCCTGCCCTGGGCACTACCGCTGATGCTCTGGCGGGCAGGAGGTAGGGGACCCGGGAGGCACTCCCCACTCAGAAGTAAACGCGCAGGCCGGGAATACTGGCAGTGGTGACCGTCCCCCTCGGCCCTCAGGAGTATGAGCAGGCCTCCAAGGTGGACCAGTTCGTGACTCGCTTCCTGCTGCGGGAGACGGCGAGCCAGCTACAGGCCCTGCAGAGCTCGCTGGAGGGGGCGTCAGATACCCTGGAGGCCCAGGCCCGTGGCTCGAGGTACGCCAGGCATGGTTCACAAGTGCTCATTGTCCCCGTCTCACCTCCCTCAGCCTCTTCACACTCCGCAGCGTCCAGGAGCCCGCGTTCTGGGGCAGGGAGGCCGTGAGGGGCTGAGGAGAGGTGGCTGCCCTTGGAGCTAGGCCTCAAGGTCCCAGGAGGCCTGTCTTGCCCCACGCAGGCCTAGTCCTGTCCTGGGGCTCCGGTTCTTGGTCCTGTGGGTCTGGGGGCAGTGGCTGACCCTCCACTTCCCTTAGGTCAGATGAAGAGAGTGTGGAAGCGCAGGGCAAGCCCCGGGGAGGCCGGCGGGCAGGGCGCAGGGCCCTGAAGAGCATCGGTCGGTCACCCAGCTGGTCTCCTGGCTCCTCTGACATAGGTGCGCCTGTGACAGGGAGGGAGGCTGGCCAAGGAGGTCCGGGGTGGGCGCCACATCCCCCATTCCCCTAGCATCTGCTCCCCCACCCTCAGTTCATCCTGAGAAGCTCCCAGCCTAAGGGGCCCATGCCTGACCCCCCACGGGCCCCCAGGGCGGAGCTCGGAGGCCGAGATGCAGTGGCGGCTCCAGGTCAACCGTCTGCAGGAGCTCATCGACCAGCTCGAGTGCAAGGTGAGTGGCATGTGGCCAGTGCCCCGAGGGGGCGGACCCTCCCGGCATCTGCCCAAGTCAGGCCCAGGCTGGGGGCCCGGCCCACACTCTGTGCCCTTCACAGGCCCCCCGGCTGGAACCCCTGCATGAAGAGGACCTGGCCAAGGAGCCCGACTCGGTGAGCCCGGGACAGGGGCAGGCAGCATGATGGCGAGGGCTGGGGGTGCCCATGAAGGTTCATGGGGCCAGCTGCCCCCCCCGCCCCCCGGCAGCACACACGTGCCCCTTCCTGGGCCTGGCGGGCTCTGTGACCCTGCCCCTCTTGGGGCCTCAGTTCCGGTCTGCATGTCTGCAACCCGGGCTGGGCCAGCGAACCGAGGGCAAGAGGGATGGCTGCATCAGGCCGCGCCCTCGGAGATAGGGGTGGAGGATGGAGTCTGGGCTGTCTGGGTGCAGGTTGGCAGCAGGAGCCCCCGCGCAGGGTGGGCTGGACTTGGCACGGGTCAAGAGGTTGGGGTCCTCTTGGAGACCACAGCCAGCTCCTCACCCTGCACCCTGCCCTAGCTGACTGGCCACCTCTCTTGCCAGCACATCTTTGTGGCCCAGAGACAGGTCCAGGTGGCAGAGGAAGCCCTGCAGGACTTCCACCGAGCCCTGTGCTGCTACGTGGACTTCACAGGGGCCCAGAGCCACTGTCTGCAGTGAGTCCTCAGCCGGCTGGTGGGACAGCTGAGGTGGGGAGGGGGTGAGCAGGGAGGGGTACTGGGCTGGCTGACCTGGGCCGGGGCTCCCGTGGGACCCCTGGTTGGGTGGGCGGCAGGGTGGCAGCCCTGGCCTGGCCTGGCTCTCTCTTTGGCCCCACAGTGTGTCTGCACAGAAGATGCTGGACAGCGCCTCCTTCAGCCTGTATGAGTTCTGGCGGGATGAGGCCTCCTGGAGAAGGTAGGTGTGATGGTCTAACAGCCGCCATTTATGAAGTGTTGGCCGTGAGTGAGTCAGGCGTGGGTTCCAATCCTCCTCTCCCGCTTACTGGCTCGGTGACCTCAGATGAGTTAGCTAACCCACCTGAGCCCCAGAGTCCTCTTTTCCAAAATGGGTGTGACAACCCCCACAATATGCTGGAAAAAAAAAATGGGTGCGACAACAGTTCCAGCCTCCTGTGGGCTAAATGAGATGACGTGTAAAGACCTGAGTGCAGTGCTCAGTACACAGTAGGCACTCAGCAAGTATACACCGATGTTGCTGCATGCCACACCCTATGCCAAGCACCTTCATTCAATCCTCATAGTATCCCAGTGAAGCAGATCCTTTGTCCCCATTTCACAGAGGAGAAAACTGAGGCTCAGAGCCAGCCTGAGGAAGGCCTGGGATCTGCATCCAGGCAGCAGGACTGGGATGGGTATGGGGAGACCCAAGGGCACATGGCTGCAGCCTCGGTCCCCTCTGCAGGCACCAGCAGTCGTCCTGCAGCAAGGCCTTCCAGCGCACCCTCATTGACCACCTGCGGGCTCCGGACACCCTCAGCACTGTGTTCTTCCCAGGTGTGCTGCAGCCCGATCCCTCTCCCCAGCCCTGGGACCAGGAGGGGCAGTGGCCCCGACAGCTCCTGACTCCCAACTCCAACCCACAGCCTCCTGGTGGATTGTGGATAATAACTGAGCCTGACCTGCGTAACCAAGGACCCTGGGGCCCTGCCTGCCTCCTTTGGGAGCCTCTGGACTGGTCAGCTCAGCACCAAGACCAAGGACCCTGCCTCCTCCTAGGCCTGGGCCAGGCCCACTGGCGCAGGGTCTCTCAGCCTGGGATCAGGGACGGGGCCACTTGTGTTCTATTTATTTATTTATCAGCGTATTTTGTTGTTTATAGCTTTAGTCTCCATGGCACTTTGGCTTCCGCCTGGCTCAGAAGGCCTGGATTCTGGTCCCCCTTGCCCCTGCCTTGCTGTGTGACCCAGGCCAGGTCCCTCCCCTCTCGGTGTGGCCCTCAGGCCATCTGGCTGCCTAGTGGGTGTCCTGCATTCTTCCTGCTATCTCGGGACCAGGCTTCTGCTCTTGCCCAGCCAGTGGCAGAACCAGGCCTGATGCTCAGGGACCCCCTAGCCCCTCACACCTCGACCCCTGAGGCTGGGCCAGATCACTTGGCAGTGTGGGGTAAGGGCCTGGGTGTCCCCAGCACCCTCCTGGACTGGCAGGCCCCTGACCCTTTCAGCACCGGAAGAGACCTCTGGAGGATCCTGGGCTGGTTTGCATGTCATTTGCATATTATTTGCATGCTCACGCCCCACCCATTCTCAGGGCACTGTGGGCAGCCCCAAGGTAACCTTGCCAAGTAGCAATAATTTGGGCCCAGGGTTGCCTGCTGCCTCCAGAGACCTCTGAGCCCCAGCCCAGGACCCTGGCACAGAGGCAATAAAGGCAGTGGTCACCTCTGGTGTTGCCTCCTCTCTCTTGCCAAGGCCAGGCTGTGGGGCCTGTATGCCTCCCAGACCAGGGCAGAAAACCTTTCTTTGGAAATCACCTGAGTCCCCTCCGGAACTCCCATGGCTGCAGAGTAGCAACTTCCTCACAGCTGATGGAGGTTTCCTCAATTCAGGGCCACTCAGCCCTGCAAACCCTGTTTCTAGGGTCCCGCCTGGGAAAGGGAGGTGACATGGTCTCTGCTTTCAACCTCTCCAAATCTGCTGGGGCTTCTAGCTGCACCCCACACGGAGCCTTCTCAGAATCCCAGATAGCTTGGCTGCATTCCCATGGGAAGACCTGTCCCCAGATAGAACCTCGATGCCAAGCTGGACTTGCTGCTGCCACCTGATGTACAGCAGTTCCAGGCAAATAATGGCTGAGCACCAGCCGCTGGGGGAAGAGGGTGGGGGCATGGAGGGGAGGTGACCAGTGGGGACACCTAGGCATCTGACCTAGGCTGGGGTGTCAGGGTGAGCAGTGTTTCAGGCAGAGGGAACGGCACCTGTGGGGGGAGGTGACTTGCCTGGTTGAACCAGGAGAAGCCCAGCAGCAGGGTCCAGGCCAAGGTGAAGTTGGGAGCAAAGGTGCTTCCTCCCAAGGTAGGTTTTAAGCCAGGGGTGAGCAGCCAGTGGGGCAAGTGACATTTTGCCAATGTTCCTGAATGCCCTGGTGGTGCCACGTCCTTGCTGGGCACTGGGGCATGGCTAGAAAGGCAGCTCAAATGGCACCAGCTTGGGGTGGGTGTCCCAGGCTTTGGCCTTGGCTCCAGGCAGGGTCCTCCCTGCGGTTCTCCCCAGCGGCCCCTGCAGATGAGAGTTTCCTCCACGACCTGGCGGCCCAGGCCAAAGAACCAATGTGAGGATTCCTGGTGGCTCTTTGGCCAGTGAAGGCTGCCCTCCTGCCACCCTACTTCCCAGAGCCTTGGCAGCTCCTGGAAAGTGCTGCCGGCATGTGAGCCACACGTGGCTCTGGGCTGGGCAGGGGAGGTCTGGCCCCCACGTGGCAGCGCACGCATGCGTCTTGTTAGAGAAGCAGCCGATCAGGAGGAAGTAGCCTGCTTCCTGCCTGTGCTGTGATGCCTTCCACAGAAACAGTGGCGACAGCACACCCTCCCCATTGCCATCGTTAAAGATGCCAAAGCCCTCAAGCTGACTCCCCCAAAGTGGGTGCCTCCTTAGTTTTGCACCGGAGACACCTTGCCTGCCTCCCCCTGCAGTGGGGCTCTGAAAGTTCACCCTTTCTAATAGTTTTCAAGTAACATGGGCTGTGTCCTCCTTCCTTCTGAAGGCTGGAGTTTCAGGGAAGGGTCCTACAGGGATGGGAAGGCCACTTGGCAATGACCAGGTTCGGTCTGAGCTAGAAAAGGGAGCAGAGGTCTTGGCACTGACGCGGGACTCGGGAAGCAGAAGGGCACTGCAGAGTGTGAGGGCCACCAGGGCTGAGCTGTCTTACAGGTGACAGTGAGCCAGGCGGGTGCCAGACAGGAGTGACAACATGGGTGGGTGTGGGGCTGGATGCAGACAGGGGTGGGGGTGGGGGGCCAGAGCTGCAGTCACAGGAAAACAAACTTCTGAGCTGGGGCAGGGCTGTGGGGACACAGAGGAGGTCCCCAAGCCTTTACTTGTATCAGTTCATTCCCACAAACCCACCTGCATCTCCACCTTGCCATCAACACTGTACCCCCTTGCCCTATCCTCCAAGTTAGTTAGGGCCACCATCCCCTCTGGCCTAAAAGACTCTAGCAGCTTTTTTTTTTTTTTTTTTAGAGATGGGGTCTCACTATGTTGTTGAGGCTGGTCTCAAACTCCTACTTCAAGTGGTCATCCCACCTCGGCCTCCCCCAGTGCTGGGATTACAGGTGTGAGCCACTGCGCCTAGCCTGTAGCAGCTTCATTATTGGGTTTACATTCCCCACTCTCCCCCACCCCAGTCCATTCCCTGTAAAGCTGGTTCAAAGTTTTTTTGTTCCACACTGTCTCTGTTGCCTGGGCTAGAGTGCCGTGGCGTCAGCCTAGCTCACAGCAACCTCAAACTCCTGGGCTCAAACGATCCTTCTGCCTCGGGCTCCTGAGTAGCTGGGACTATAGGCATGCACCACCATGCCCAGCTAATTTTTTCTATTTATATATTAGTTGGCCAATTAATTTCTTTCTATTTATAGTAGAGACGGGGTCTCGCTTTTGCTCAGGCTGGTTTCGAACTCCTGACCTCGAGCAATCCGCCCGCCTCGGCCTCCCAGAGTGCTAGGATTACAGGCGTGAGCCACCATGCCTGGCCTGGTTCAAAGTTTCGAAAATCACATTCAGTGGCACCCACTGCCTTCAGCATCAAGATCAAGTTTGATTTCTTGTTCTGACATTCAAAGCCCTTAGCAATGAACCCTTACTCCCTATTTTTGCAGCCTCCTCCCTAAATCTCACTCCAGCTGAGCTGGGTCATTTGCAACCTAGGTAACCCTCTCCGTGGCCTTTGTCCTAAGCCACCCATCTACTATAGAAACACCTCAGCTGTAAGGAGCAGGTCACAGCCATCAGGCCTGGGGCACCTTTCCCAACCCTGCTTTTGGTAGCTGAAGCTCCTTTTGACAGCCACTGGGCACCTGCTTTGAGGTACTGAGGATGATGAGATGTCCCAGGTTGGTGACAGTACCCAGGTCAAAGGCAAGTGGAGTCCTGAAGCTGGGAGAGCTCAGGGCTCCTCAGCTAGCTACCACCCCCACCTCTCCACCCACTCCCTGCACCTGCCTCCTCCCCTTCCTCACACCTGCACCTGTGACTCACCTGTGCATGTCCAAAGCTGTCCTGGGGACTGACCCAGTGCCAGGCCAGAGCTGGAGAGACAGCAGCAGTCTAGAGGGTGGCCATTGCCCTCTGGCTCTCTTCACAGCTTCTGATGGGTTGGAAGGAAGGGACTGAGAATGAAGTGAGCCTTCAAAAGTTATTCTTGAAACATATACTAATACTTGAGCAAGACACCAGGCCCCGTGCAGGGTGCCGGGGACTAAGGTGAATCTTTAAGGAAATCACAGATCAGCAGGGAGGGAACCAGGTTACGATGGCAGCCACAGTTTACAAGGTTGTCCTGGGTGCTAGGCCCTGTGCTAGGGGCAATACCCATGTGATCACATTTCGCCCTCACAACAACCTAGTGGTGTAGGCATCATCAGCACCCCCAATTTCAAAAGAAGAAACAAGCTCAGAGAACAAGTGCCTTGTTCTGGTCACACTCCCCTGGCACCAGTAGCTACTCGCCAGTGTGGACAGCACTGAGAGAAGGCATCCTCTGGTAGCAGACACCAGCCAGGCTGGAGGAGACAGTGGCGCCTACATCCAACGGGAGCGAAGCCAGGCTCTGGGGCCTGCAGAATGGCAGACGGGGCAGCAAGGAAGAGCCCGGTGCAAGGTGGAGGGGGGACCAGCCCTCGGAAGGTGGGGGGCATGAGGCCGAATTCTCATCACTTCTGGAACTCCCTAGGAGACACAGAGATCATCAGTGGAACGTCTGGGGCAGAAAGGCAGCCACAGGAAAGGTAGGTGCAGAGGGGCTGGCAAAAGTTGCCACGTGTGCACCCTGGAAAGGCGTCTGGCTCGCGGATGGAGGTGGCACAGGCAGCAGGTCTAGCTCTCTCCGCAAGAGGGCGCCCGGCAGCAGGCGATGAAGCCGACCCAGGCGCGGAGGTGGCTTGTTCGGCCCCCTCAAACCAAGCGGAGCCGCAAAGACCAGCGGTCAGAAACAAGCAGACAGGGTGAGCAGAGTTTAGCTCCATGTGAATTTTTCATCCTGAGATGACTCAAGCCAGTTATTTCCCTTTAGGCTGAGAAACACAATAGGCTCCTTGACACCTGTGAAAGGGCTGCCCCCTCCCAACCTACCTTCCAGAAGGAATAATGCTTCCATATTTCCCACCTCTTTGTCGCTCTCTGACAAAGGAAATGAATGTACCACTAATTTTCACTTCGGTCATCTAATCTGCTGTTTAATAATGCACTGACCAGCCTGAGCAAGAGGCTCTGTTTCTACTAAAAAAATAGAAAGAGGCCGGGTGCAGTGGCTCACGCCTGTAATCCGAGCACTCTGGGAGATTGCTCAAGGTCAGGAGTTCGAGACCAGCCTGAGCAAGAGCAAGACCCTGTCTCTACTAAAAATAGAAAGAAATTAATTGGCCAACTAAAAATATATAGAAAAAAAAATTAGCCGGGCATGGTGGCACATGCCTGTAGTCCCAGCTACTCGGGAGGCTGAGGCAGGAAGATTGCTTGAGCCCAGGAGTTTGAGGTTGCTGTGAGCTAGGCTGATGCCATGGCACTGTAGCCCGGGCAACACAGTGAGACTCTGTCTCAAAAAACAAACAAACAAACAAACAAAAACACTATTTCAATGATTGTCATTTCCAGAATTCTATTTATTTTCTGCCTAGCCATTTTCAGAGACCTTACTTTTTGCTTATTTTTCTCAGCACCATCTTCAAAAGTTCCATAGTTCTATTCTGCATCTGATAATTCCAATGTCTTAAGTCCCAGGGTCTAAGTCAAGTGTTAACTGCTCCTGTCGACTGGCTGGTGACAGCTCGTTTCCCTGGGTGTTCAGTACTTTTCCTGGCCAGCGTATCCTTGGCTGGTATAATACGCGGGCATGCGGAGGGGCCTTGGGTGATCATTGTAATTTCTCAGCCCCGGATCCTTAGCCTCTGCAGTAGTGCAACTCAGAACCCCAGGCCCGGGAGAGCGGACCTAAGATTAGATAGTCTCTAATGAGATTCCTGTTTTCTTTTTCTCAAGCAGGGATGTGAGGTGTTTCCAGTTCAGTTCCCACTGGAGACTGGCAGCTTTTCCCTGCTGCCTTCTTACAGGGCCCAGGCTGAGTGACCTGGCCGCACGGAGAGGGACTGGGTTTGGTTTCTCCACTCTGTACAGGCTCCAAGCCCAGTCCCACGGTCCCCTCCAACTCTTGAGTTCTTGGAATTTCTTTTCCCCACAAGCAGCACAGATTTCCTCTTTTGTATTCTACTGCCTCTGTGGTTTCAGCTTACTTTTATTCTGGCCCTTGGGGGTTTCTTAAACTTTCTCATCAGTGACCTCAGCAATGCAAAGTGTATTCACTATAATTTATCTGTCATCTGGGCTGTTTTGTGGTAATGAAAACATTTTCAGTCTGCCATTTCTATGGTAAATTCCCTTTATACCAATATCATGCTCTCGTGCGAAGCTGACAGTCCCATGGCTGAGATCCTGTCGTTCTAGGGGGACTATAGCATAACTGGGAAAGGCTTGCAGTTGGCACCACCTGCATACAAGATCAAGCAGCCAAGCCCCCATCTTGCCTTCTGGGGCCAAGGCTATAGCCCACCCCTTCTCCTTACCCTGAGATCTAGAAAGCAATCCTTCCTTTGCATTTTGGGGGCCTGTGAAACTGGTGTTGCCAAGCAACCTGTCGAGCAGAAGCCACAAGCGGGTATTCAAGCGACGGAAGTGAGGTCACAACTTACCAGCTAGTCAACAGGCTTGACAGCCCACGACTGTGCACACAGGTGCGCCTGCACCGCTCTATGGTCGTGGTGCAAGCTGGTGGGCTTTCATGGAAAGCAGTCTGGGTTTTAAGCATGTGAGAAATGTACAGTATTAAAAATTTCACTTTGGAAAATTATCCGAAGGAAATAAGGAAGTGAAGGAAGATGTTCACTTCAGTATGTCATACAGGAAAACCTGAAAGCAATCCGATTGCCCAACAGGAGGTGAAGACTTTAGCCGGGCATGGTGGCGCATGCCTGTAGTCCCAGCTACTCAGGAGGCTGAGGAAGGAGGATTGCTTGAGCCCAGGAGTTTGAGGTTGCTGTGAGCTAGGCTGACACCTGGCACTCATTGTAGCGTGGGCAACAAAGTGAGACTCTGTCTCAAAAAAAAAAAAAGAAATTTATGGCCTCAATTAAATTACACAACCATTAAGCAAATAAATGTGAAGGCAATGGTGAAATTACTTACAATTTAACATCAGTGTAATAAGGACATAAATGCATATTCACAAGTCCAAATAATGTTGGCATTTGTGTTCAAATGTTCTAAGGAAATACTAAGTTATTATACACAAGACCACTACCCTATTTTTCAAACTTTGTGGGAATTTACGTTCCTTCTTAACGGTGAAGGAAAGCAAGAACAAGGAACTGAGAGTGTCTGTGAGCTGTCGGTGGCACGTGACTGCAGGCCACTGGCACACACCAGGCAGCCACAGCTGGCTTCCCAGAGAGGCCCAGCTCCATGCCCGGGGAGTTCCAGCTTCCAGAAACTTCTTCCTTGGCAGTACCTCCCGCTCTTGTTGCCCTGATGCTCTTTAGGCTGGAACAAGACCTGGGTGGAGCCCCTCTTCCCTTGCCCAAGGAGAGAATTGGGGCAGGCCACCTCACTTTTCCTCCCAGTGCCATGCTAGCTGGAGTCAGAAAAGGAATATAGCCTTTTTATTGACTACTTTAAGTAGAACAAACTAAATACATATTTAACAGTTTTGGTTCATTTATACAGTACATTAAATAAGTTATGCACAGAGTTAAGTAACAAAGCTTCCTATCAGAGTAAAATGACAAAGCACAGAAAAACCAGACTCTAACACATCCTGTGGGTGGTTTCACCTTAATCATCCCCCTTTAAAAATCACGGTTGGAGGCTTCATTTTTATTTATTTACATTATTGGCTTTCTTTTGTGAACGGAGGAGCCTTCGTAGCCTCATCAGGAACTTGGAAAGCCACGTAAGTGGACCCAAGGCCTCTTAGCCGCAGTCTGTTCACCATTCACCTAATGCTTATTGCTGCTTCTCTCTGCCCACTCCAAGGCAGGGACGGGGCTGTCCCCAACAGACACCAGCCGCATGTGCCCTATTTGGTATAAGCAACAATGGGAGTGTGCACGGCGCGGCTGGAGGCCTGACCAGACGGGGTCTGCAGGGGAAGCTCCAGCTCTCCGGCTGTGGAGCACAGGCCTGCCCCTCAGGCCCCCTAACCTCCTGGCTCCTGACGGAAAAGGTCACCTGCACCATTGTCTTTGGAAATGAGCGTGTCAATGCCTGTGGGCAAAGAGGCAGGTAGTCAACGTTTTGGTTTCACAAGAACTACAGACACTCGAGAGCTGGAAGGCCTGAGCTGCTCGTGTGGTCCCCACCACAAGCCGGGCAGGACTCCTCTCAGACAGCTGGCCATCTGGCCCATGCTGGAACAGCCCAGGTCCTTCTGGCTTTTATTACATTTGGTTCAAACAAGCTACCACCCAGTTCTTTGAAAACAGCTAAACAAAAGTAAGGAAGTTGGCTTGGTCTACCGACCTGGAAGCCTGGAAACCTTGATTCTAGTCCAGTTCAGAAGAAAGCCTCCACGATGCATTCTATTTTCAGTGATTTATTTAATCCATAATCCCTTCTCCAGTTTCCAGGACAAATGGCCACATGGTCATTATTTATGCTTTCACTCCGAAGAACTCAATACCATAATTCCCACTGTGTAGTGGAACCTTCAAACACACTTGCTATTTTCTAGAACTACCCAGAACAATGTCTACACCTTTTGCAAGCAGGTGACAGGGCTGGGGATGACTTCAACTTTGGGACAGGGCTGTACAAAGCAAATTTTAGATTTTTTTGTCTGGAAGCTGATGATGCTCTAGTTGCTATGAAGAAGCGATGAACTCCTGGCAGACCTTTTGGCCCAGACGGACAAAGGAAGTCCCCACTGCCGAGGACAGCAGCCAGTGCCGGGGTGACCTCCTGCTGGTAGATGTGTCTTATTTCCAGACTGAGATGCGTTGATAGACATTTGTAACTGAGCACTGCCTCAGGAGAGATCCGCCTCATCGGTGACCTCATGGTCACCTGACTGTACTTAAGCAGATTTGCGAGGGGACTAGTCCTGGAGCTGCAGGGAGCCCCCATGGTGGCATGCTCACATCTCCACAGGGACTGCCTGTTCCTGAGCAGGTGGGCTTAAAACAACTTCTTACTGGCTCATCTTCCCCACTGGATGAAGTCAGGCGTGCTGCAGGCAAGTGGGCATCCAAAAGACAACGGAAGGTATGAACATCCTGCCCTCAAGTATCCCTTGGAACATCCGCTACCTCTGGTCTTTGCTGGCTCCTGCAATCACTCCTCACTTGGCAGAAGACTACGATGTCCCACCACTCGTCAGTGATCCTCCATGGGGGACGCTCAACACTGGTTTTATCCTGCAGACATGCTCTGACTGATGGCCAGCCAGGTGTTGCATTTGCAGTTGGTTTCCAGTTTAGCATTAGAGAGCCTGCGACTGACCTGACACTCCCTGAACTACCAACCCAGCCTCTTTCATGTCCCCACAAATATTAACTATAAAGGCTAGCCCTCTAAGCAGCCTGATTACAGCAAGGTATTTTTTCTCTTTTAAATCCTACTGTAGATGACAGTGGGGAGTCTGAATTTCCACTCCCAACCTGGGAACTGGGGTGGTGCCAGCAGAGTCTGAAAGCCATGTGGACAGCCTGGACTTGCTCCTGCCCCTCTGGCTGCCCACCCTGCCCCAGTGGTGCTCCTGCACCCAATCAGAGAGTTGCAGAATTTCAGAAACTTTCTGGAGAAAGGGATTCTTTTTTTTTTTTTTTTGGAGACAGTCTCACTCTTGCCTGGGCTAGAGTGCTATGGTGTCAGCTTACCTCATAGCAACCTCAAAGTCCTGGGCTCAAGCAATCCTTCTGCCTCAGCCTCCCGAGTAGCTGGGACTACAGGCATGCGCCACCATGCCCGGCTAAATTTTTTATATATTTTTAGTAAGCCAATTAAATTCTTTCTATTTTTAGTAGAGACAAGGTCTTGCTCTTGCTCAGGCTGGTTTCAAACTCCTAACCTTGAGCGATCCACCAACCTTGGCCTCCCAGAGTGCTAGGATTACAGGTGTGAGCCATTGCGCCTGGCAGAGAAAGGGATTCTTTAAATCTGAATAGCAAGTCCTGGACAGATGCCCTGGCAACCTCTGTATGAAACTGACCAGAATTAACATAGCAAAAGATCTGAGAACTGATCTTCAGTATGGAATATTGCCCAGGTTTACAGATTGGCCCCTGGGTAGCACACAGCAAAGCAGTCTAGAAAAGCATTAGAAAGACTCTGAAAACGAAACTGTTATTGGAACCACAGGCCACAAAAGTAGGCCAGGATCTCCACACTAAACCTAAACCTTAGCTGTAGAAATGAACATTGAATTCTGATAATTATTTGGTTGGTTTTGGCTCTTTATTCCAAACAGTAAAAACTCAACCTGCCCTAGCTAGCTGTGGCCACTAAAGAATTTAAAAACCTGCTTAGGGGATGCCAAAGTGGGAGGACAGCTTGAGGCCAGGAGTTCAAGACCAGCCTGGGCAACACAGCAAGACCCCATCTCTGGCTGGGTGTGGTGGCTCATGCTTGTAATCCTAGCACTCTGGGAGGCTGAGGCAGGAGGATGGCTTGAGGTCAGGAGTCCAAGACCAGCAAGAGCAAGACCCTGTCTCTACTAAAAATAGGAAGAAATCAGCCAGACAACTAAAAATAGGAAAAATTAGCCGGGCATGGTGATGAGTGCCTGTAGTCCCAGCTACTCAGGAGGCTGAGGCAGGAAGATTGCTTGAGCCCAGGAGTTTGAGGTTGCTGTGAGCTAGGCTGATGTCACAGCACTACAGCCTGGGTTACAGAGCAAGACTCTGTCTAAAAAAAAAAAGGATCCCATCTCTATATAAAGAACAATAATACAAAATCACCTGGGTGTGACGGTATATGTCTGCAGTCCTAGCCACTTGGGAGGCTGAGGAGGAAGGGTTGCCGGAGCCCAGGGGTTTGAGGTTACAGTGAGCTATGACTGTGCCACTGCACTACAGCCTGGGTAACAGAGCAGACCTAGTCTCTGGGAAAAAAATAAAAAAACACCCCCTCCCCCCAAATCTGCTTAAGTGTTTATTCAACTTATCAATGAAAAAATAGTAAGCCAAGGACTGACCCAGTGTACATCACAAGACGCCTCTTGTTATACCTGATGCAGAGGCAGTCTGAGGCACTGACTACATCTCTGTTAAGAGTCAGGCTGCCTCACCAACTGATGGGGGTGAGGGGACCCAATGTATCAGGCTAACTAGAAAACTGTGGGTCTTACACATGCCACGATAAAGTAACATTATTTTCTGTTATTCTATCTCTGGTTATACCTTACTTTGGACAATAGAAATCCAGGAATTTAAAAAGTGCCTTGTATTGGATTTGTTTGTTAAGACTACAAATCCTTGGTTATGGTAAATTAGGGACTTGAAGTAAAATACACTTGTATGCAAGGATGAGGCTACCTGTGCCAATCCCTTTTGCTTTATGGTATTGAGAGAGCTTTTATTTCAGACTTTGGTCAGTGTAGAGAAGGTGGAGCTAGACCTAGGTTCCCAAGGCCAGCCACTGCAGGGCCAACCAACCCAACCCAACTCAACTCAGTCCCCTCCAACCCAACTGATTCCTTGCCAGCAGCTCGAAAGGTGTAGAGTGGGTCAGCATCCCCGGGCTTCCAACGAAACCCACATGGCAGAGAAGAATAATATTTTGAAAGGAGTATAGGTGATGTCATGTTTGGTGAGCCAGATTAAGTCGCTGGAAAACCCCCTGAAGACAGGAAGGAAAATTGGTCAGGCTTTCCTAAAATGGTTCTCACACTTCACAAAATCTTTTTGGGTTCAAAATGAGAAGCTATCAGATAACAAAAGAGAAAGGAAATGGAGATTGTGTGTCTGATAAAAAATCAACAGAAGGCATAATGACATGGAACTATGAGGTTTGTAGAATTCTTTCACGTCCAGGAGGGCTGCTTAGGCGAGACCAGGCCTTGACAGGCGGGACGAATCCTATCAACACACCACGGCACATTCAGCAGGATAACTGCAGCTGAGCCAGTGCCAAACAGAACCCATGGCAGAGGACGCTCAGTGTGATCCAGACATGCACAGTCTGAGCAATAAAAGGACACAGAACGAGACGACTGTGCAAACAGTCACACAGTGGCAGAAGGCTCTGCATTTCCAAGAGATGATCCACTCAATAATTTGACAATACTAGTTTGGCCAACATGCTTAGAGAGAACACACTATCCACGGTGGAGTCTCATTCTCTCTCAGACCAATCCATGCGCTGGAAACAATTTCTGCACAAGCAAAATCAAATGAGAGAGAAAAAAATGGGTCCCACGCTAAAGTAGCCAGCCATCTTGTCCCAAGTGATCTGTGACGCTTGGTAGAAGTTTTATTTATTTTTTCGTGTTACGGGTGCTTTTACTGAAATGGTGACTTCTTTCCTATTGATTCTGATCTTAACAAGTCTGAACAAGAGGGTTGAGAAGGGAGTCCTGAGTGCCACTTTTTGCCTACTGAAGTCCCCGTGAGGCCAATCAGTGTCATCTGCCGAGGGTGGAAATGGGGCTTAAGGATCTGCTCAAGGATAAGAGGGACCACTCCCCCATCTGAGGGGGGCCTCCTCTGCAGCCTGCCGCCAGCACCCAGGCCTCTGCCACATGAAGACCGGCACACTTGGCAGTCTGCTGACTCAAGGAGGCAGAGAGGGGAGCTGGTGGTCTACACTGACAGGGGCCTGGCTAAGCCAGCTTCGGCTGGGAGAGGAACAAACCAGGAAAGCCATGGAGGAGGCAGCGCAGGCCAGCTGCCCGTGTGCAGAGAGACTGGCACACTTGTTCCGTAAGGACACAGATGATGAGTGTTGGACTCCTTCTGCCTCCACTGCATTCCTTGCTGATGACCAACAGCTACTTGCTCTGGTTCCCACAGCCAGCCCCTGATGCAAGGGTCCTGTCATGCCGAGTGGTCACCAGGATAAGTGGAATCCGGGCTCAGAGTCCGTTGGTGTCAATGGCTGTCACAGAGGCAGGTGTTGAGGAACGCGAGGTGGTTGCCGAGGTCTTGTCCAGGGCTGGGCTGGGCACACTGCAGTCGGCAGACCTGGCTGAGCCCCTCCCCCCAGGAAGCAGTGGCCGGCTCTGGCTGTGGGGACTCTGGCCATGCAGGTTCTGGCCACAGAGGCGGTGGTGCCGCTCCCAGTCCTTGTGCTGGCAGAAAGAGCCACAGTATCGTGCAATATTGCAGCCACTGCATGTCTCACTGGCTTTGCGGCCACAGTTCCAGCAGTTCTGCAAGACACAGGCGTCAATAAGTGATTGCTGGGATCTCAAGGGGCAGGCTTGTCACTTGTTACCTGCATGGCAGTCCTGCCTTTACTGTTATGTGCTTAACCATGGGAAATACACACCCCCTTTCTGAGTTTCCTTCATCTGTAAAACAGGAAAACTACCCATCCGCAGGACGGCAGGGGGAACTGAGGGGTGTATGCGACAAGACCTTGGACAACACCAGCATAGGTCCAGTGGCCATGTCCTGTTACAGCATAGACTCACGTTTCTGACTCATATTTTAATCTTCAGAGACCAAACCAAATTCTGTGCCAGCGTCCCTCTCACCCCAGCTATCTACCCTAAGAACACATATATGTTCAGACAAACACTTTCTCTTGCTCCTCCCAATGGAGAAATCATCTTCATTTCCCACAGACAATATATGATCTTAACTAAGACCTTTAAAGGAATATAGGTAATAATTCATTTTTTTTTTTGAGACAGAGTCTTGCTTTGTTGCCCAGGCTATAGTGAGTGTCGTGGCGTCAGCCTAGCTCACAGCAACCTCAAACTCCTGGGCTCAAGCGATCCTCCTGCCTCAGCCTCCCCAGTAGCTGGGACTACAGGCATGCGCCACCATGCCTGGCTAATTTTTTCTATATATATTAGTTGGCCAATTAATTTCTTTCTATTTATAGTAGAGATGGGGCCTCACTCTTGCTCAGGCTGGTTTCGAACTCCTGACCTTGAGCAATCTGCCCACCTCGGCCTCCCAGAGTGCTAGGATTACAGGCTTGAGCCACTGCGTCCGGCTAATAATTCATCTTGTTTAATAAAGGTCCCCTGCTGGGGAACCAGGATGTGTGAGCAGGAGTGGAAGTAGTTGTGTTACTTCTTCCTTTGTCCTCTGGGCCTGTTTTCCTTCCACTATGTGTCTCATCCTAGGTGAGCTAGAATCATGGGAATACTTCTGGCCTGTTCTCAGGAGCCACCTGCAATATCCCAGACCTCAAGGCCTTGGAAGTCTAGGTCAGCGACTTTTCTTACTACTTCTTGCACTTCCCTAGGAAGGGGGAAGTTAGACTAGGATTTAGCAGAAACCACCAGGGAAAAGAGTCCACCTGTTGAGTGTACTAATTCAATTACAGAAGACATGAGCCCAGTGAGGATGGTGAGAGCTAGAAGTAGTAGCCATGGAAGAGGCAGTAGAAACAGTCACGGAACAGACTTTATACATCCCAAAGCATCATAGAGACTGAGGCCAGCAGTACAGCTCCTAGCACTTGCACCCTATAGTACTTTCTTTCCTTCCTGTAGGCTCCATGTGGATTCTGCTTACATGAATGTTCTATATCTGAGCTCACTAGGACCGACTGGTAAGAGAATAGTCTCATGGCCCTGGCCAGGTGAAGCTCTCAGGAAGGACTGCAGCAGCCAGCCTGCTGCCCTCTCGTCTTCCCTGTGCACGGGTACTTTAGAATGGCAGAAGCCAATCTTGAGGCCTGGCAATGGTGCCACTCAGGAAAGAAAGGCCCCACCCCAATGGAATCAGAAGGTTCCTAGGTATAAAAGAACAGACAACTGCCGAAAAGCACCTAGGAACCACCCAGCCCACTTACAGCACTGTACAGATGGGGAAACTGAGGGCCTGGGGGGGGCTCTTATAAAATTTAATAAGTGGCAATGCAAAGTCTGGAACCTTCCACTCCATGATACTCAATGTAAAGGTTTAACTTCAAAGAACATTAGAACAGACTGCAGATTCCCTACTAATACAAAAGGCTTCTCAGGAAATACACCCTAAGGACTGTCAAAACTTCCCAACAAAATAGTAGAGGACCAAAATAGAGAACAGAAGTAATTTTTAGGTTACATTTATAGATCTCAAGCAAACTGTATTCCAGAGAATTTCATACTTTGGAGTCTGATAGGCTGACTCCAGATAATGCTTTGGTAGAATCTTCTCATTTGTGGGGAAGAACTCAGCTGTTGCCCACGTGGGGCCACTGTGGAAACACAGGCCAATAGGTTGGCTGCCAGCAGAGGGGGAGATCCTCTACTCCCTCTGTCAAAGCAAGAACATCTCAGAACTGGTCAGAGTATCAAACCACTGCTGCTTTTATCTTGGCTGCCATTATTTTTAAAATAGTTTATTTCATGATTTATGACTGCGGTCCCTAAGCCTGGCGCCTCAGACCAGTACCAGTCCATGGCTTGCTAGGAACTGGGTCAGACAGCAGGAGGTGGGCGGTGGGCTAGTGAGCGAAGCTTCATCTGTATTTATAGCTGCTCCCTATCACTTGCATCACCACCTGAGCTCCGCCTGTCAGATCAGTCACTGTCTCCCATCACCCCTAGACAGGACTGTCCAGTTGCAGGAAAACAAGCCCACAGCTATGATTCTGCATTATGGTGAGTTGTATAATTATTTCGTTATATATTACAATGTAATAATAATTACAAATAAAGTACACAATAAATGTAATGCACTTGAATCATAGCGAATCCATCCCCCAACCCCCGCCCCAACTGTGGAAAAAATTGTCTTCCATGAAACTGGTCCCTGGTGCCAAAACGGTTGGGGACCACTGATTTATAAAATACAATAAAATAGGCTGGGCATGGTGGCTCACACTTGTAATCCTAGCACTCTGGGAGGCTAAGGCGGGAAGATTGCTTGAGCTCAGGAGTTCTAGACCAGACTGAGCAAGAGCGAGACCCTGTCTGTACTAAAAATAGAAAGAAATTAACCAAAAAACTACAAATAGAAAAAATTAGCCAGGCATGATGGTACATGCCTGTAGTCCCCCACTACTTGGGAGGCTGAGGCAGGAGGATCGCCTGAGCCCAGGAGTTTGAGGTTGCTGAGCTAGGCTGACGCCATAGCACTCTAGTCCAGGCAACAGAGTGAGACTGTCTAGAAAATAAATAAATAAATACAATACAATACAATAAACAAAATAAACAGCCTCCCACATAAGCAAAATCATAGAAATGCAAGAACAATGTGGTTAGTGCCAGAGCATCCAGGGGTGAAAGGATGGTTTTATGTTCTCTTTCTCTTTGGCTTTTCCCAGACTTAATGAGGAGGGCTTTTCTTTTCTTTTTTTACTCACAAGGTATAAGGTGAAAGGTTTTTTGCTGTGGTCACCCTTAAAATCAACATTCCACAAAGCCAGAGCCACAGACTTGGCCAAAAGTCCTCTGTAGTTAATTGGGAAAGGTCATAAACCTGAGATACTGGCCAGTGAAGTCAGTAATTTGATTACAGAATTTCCTTTGTCAAGGAGGGGCCATCAGATTATGCCAGAATATTCCAAGTGTGGCCCAGGACCCACCATTGTCAGAACTACTGAGGGCTTATCAAAATCCCTGGGACTCATTCCAGATCTTTCTGACCTTATTGCAAACAAGAGAGAAATGACTCCCTGTTATACTAACAGTTGTTAGCCCCATTATGTTTGCCAGGAACTCCAGGTCGGTGACAGAAAGTGGCCTGAGCAGAGATAAGGGGGCCTCTCACTTCATGCCTCCGGTGCTGGGCACTGTAGGGGAGATGCTCTGTCTGGCTGTTGGGCATGAGCAGGAGCTGCCGCAGCTTGTGCACTAATCAACGGCATAACCAAATCCCGTCCATCTGCACAGTGCACTGCAGTTTAAAAGGACTTCCACGGCCGGGCGCAGTGGCTCACGCCTGTAATCCTAGCACTCTGGGAGGCCGAGGCGGGCGGATCGCTCAAGCTCAGGAGTTCTAAACCAGCCTGAGCAAGAGTGAGACCCCGTCTCTACTATAAATAGAAAGAAATTAATTGGCCAACTAATATATATAGAAAAAATTAGCTGGGCATGGTGGCGCATGCCCGTAGTCCCAGCCACTCGGGAGGCTGAGGCAGGAAGATTGCTTGAACCCAGGAGATTGAGGTTGCTGTGAGCTAGGCTGACACCATGGCACTCACTCTAGCCTGGGTAACAAAGTGAGACTCTGTCTCAAAAAAAAAAAAAAAAAAAAAAAAAAAAAAAGACCCTGTCTCTACTACAAATAGAAAAAATTAGCCGGGCATGGTGGCACACATCTGTAGTCCCAGCTACTTGGGAGGCTGAGGCAGGAGGATTGCTTGAGCCCAGGAATTTGAGGCTGCTGTGAGCTAGGCTGATGTCATGGCACTCTAGCCTGGGTAACAGAGCAAGACTCTGTCTCATTAATAAATAAATAAGATGAGAAAACAAAATTAAACAACAACAAAGAAACACTGAAAGCCCCTAAAAGTTTTTTAAATTCAAAAGAATGTCCCAAAGACAGCTGATCTTCCAATCCATAGATGGGATCTACCTACTGAGAGAAATAGGTTTGTTTCTTATAGCTGAAAAATGACTAAAATGAAAGTCATTAAATTCAAAAGGACTAGTATGTTTCTGTCACATGCTTTATTCTTTTTAGTTTTTTTATCTCTGTCCTGTGTAGAAGCATCGCCAATCCTAGGCCCAGGTCCTGGGCTCAATCTGTCACTTCAGTCCATGAAAAAGCTAGCCTATTTGTAAAGAGAGTAGATGCTACAAGGCCCTGCGTTTTCTTACTCCTGTACCCTGGCTTTAGCGCTCAGGGATTATGTCAGTTAAATTCCCCGAGCCACAGTTTTGTCATCTGTAAAGATCCAATTATATCTACCTCATAGGGTCACTGAGAAGATCAAAATGGAAATACCCATACTTAGCTGGGTATCTGGCACAGAGTAAGGCTATTTGGTCAGTGTTGGTCACCATTATCATGCAATTACACAAATTCTGTCTTTTAGGGTGAGTCTTCAAAATTCGCACCAATATGAGCCCATACATATAAGAATACAATATAATCATTTACTATCTTGATATATAAAGAATCCTGGGGTAAAATAAAAACTCTTCTTGAACTGGATAAAAATTATAATCACAGTCCACAAGAGGGGACTGTCTGTGCCAGTTGCCCTGCCCCAGCCCAGCCCAGCCCCCAGGGCTAACAGAGCTCTGACCTCCGTGGACTCTTCTTGCTCGTTTATGACGAGGAAGGCGTCCTCTGCCGCCTGCCGCTTGACGTCCGCGATGGTTTGCTCCATTCGAGCTCTCTCTGTTGCAATCACTTCAAAGGCTTTCTGCTCTGCTTCAGCAACAGCCTTCTGTACTTCTGACATGGCCTGAATCTTCACCTTATTCACAGCTTCTTCTAGAAGAAAGTGACAGTAAAATCAACTGGCCGAGAAATCTTTTCCCTCCCACCCCACAGCATAGAGCCCAAACAAGATCACTCTTTACTAAAAATGCACAGGGAAGAGCACATGATACCTGCACTTGCTCGTCCATCCAGGCAGGGACAGGCTGGGTATATAGATGGAGGTGGGCAATGAGCTAGGGCTGGGGATACTCAGGTGACTAGACACAGTCACACTCTCATTAACTGCTTGTGACCAAGGATAAAGGTGGTTCAGATGCATCGTATATTGCGGTGTAAGAGACTAGCGTTCCAAGGAAAAGAGTGGTCAGCTATACAAGGGGCAAGGGAAGTTAAACAAAGTGTGTTTGGGTTGAGATGGTAGACAGAAATGAGTTTTTGGAAAGTCTTGCATGCCACGCTAAGGAATTTGGCCTTTTTTTCCCTAAAGGAAATGTGAACTCCATCAAAGGGTTCTAAGTAAGGAGAAGAGCTTGAAGACAAAGAAGCAACTGAGAGGCTAGGACAATGAAGAGACTCTGGGTTTAGGCATGAGGAGGTGGCACTGACGAAGAGATGAGGCAGGAGGAGATTGTTAGCATAGAAGGGTCTGGACGTGGAGGTAAAGGGGAAGAATGGCAGAGCCATGCAGTGAGACGGATAATATGCAGAAAGCTGGTGTGGAGGCAAGTGAGAAGGATGAGGTGCTTGCGGGACATCCAACTGTAAATGACCAGGATGCAGTTAGCAAACGAGAGCTAAAGACACAGATCTGAGCAGACTGCAAGGAGTCCTGGGTTTCTAGAACATGAACTTACCTGGTTCCTGATCACTTCCTCCCATCACCACTACTGCCCTGCTTGGTTCTCATCAGGCAGACACCCCAAATAATATACTCCATGCATCTGAACTTCAGCAGAATGAGCATGTGAATGTGAAGTCCCAATGTGAGTAACCTCCCACATGACTCTATAAGACCAAGCAACCTAGAAACCTCAGGAAACGCCCTGACCCTCACCGTTTGGCTCTTGCACATGGCCCAGGCTAAAAGGAGGTTTAAACAGAATGTTCTAGGCTGTCACCCCAAAGGCCAAGGACTCCATGTTTCCTTTATGCTGGTTGTCCACATAGGCCCACTGTGGCCCACCATAGCTACCCTTCATAAGCCTATTATGTTAATTGTCTCTTATTGAGCCAACATAACAATGTTCTCAGGTAGATTTTACCCTCTCAGTTTATGGATAAACCAGTAAGAAGCACACTTTGGGTAACTATCTTAATGGAGGTCATCTAAGGTCACAGATGACACTGTAGTGCAGAAGAAGGACTTAAATCTAGCTGGATCAACACCGAAGTTGGCCTCTTAACCATGTTAACCAAAGTTACCTCCCAAGTAATCAAAGTCACTGGTGCTTTTTTTTTGAGACAGGGTTTCACTTTGTCGCTTGGGCTAGTGCAATGACATCATCATATTTCACTGCAACCTCAAACTCCTGAGTTCAAGTGATGCTCCTGCCTTAGTGTCCCAAGTAGCTGGGACTACAGACTCATGCCACAACACCTGGCTAATTTTTTATATTTTTGGTAGAGATAGGGTCTTGCTCTTGTTCAGGCTGGTCTCAAACTCCTGACTTCAAGCAATCCGGGAACCTTGGCCTCCCAGAGTGCTAGAATCCCACCATATCCAGCCCCAAATTGTTTTGTTTTGTTTTGTTTTTTTTTGTCTATATATGTTTTAGTTGGCCAATTAATTTCTTTCTATTTATAGTAGAGATGGGGTCTCGCTCTTGCTCAGGCTGGTTTTGAACTCCAGCAATCCGCCGACCTCGGCCTCCCAGAGTGATAGGATTACAGGCGTGAGCCACAGCGCCCGGCCCAAATTGTTTTTAATGGTATAATAATATTTTGTTGTGGTATGAAACTGAAAATTAACATAATCATTTATGGATGCTTGGGCATTTTCCAGGTTGCCTTTCTATTGCTCCCAGAATAGACTAAAAATAATATCTTTACATATACTGTTGCTTCTTTAAAAATTTATGTTTAAGTCTGGCCCATTCAAAAGCATAAAAGTGAGGAATAATTCCAAGAATCTGCAGGCACTCACCGTTGGTAATACTTAATATTTTCTTATATAAACTTTTGATGAATTATTTAGCATCATCAACAAAGTCTTCTAAAATCGTCAATTAACTAATTGTTAAACTAGGGGCTAGTTTATCAGGTGTGGCTTAATCTTGTACTTTCCTGATTACTACTGAGGAAAAACATTTTGCAATATGTTTATTTGTAGTTCCTCTTATTTTTTTTTAAATACTTATATTTCTCACATCTTTTGTCTATTTGTTTAATATTGTCTTGATACTCTTGAAAGAGTCTTTAGGAATATAGTTATTAAATTTTTTACAGAATTTTTATCTTAGGAATAAAACCAAAAATCATATTGGACTTTTAAAAAAAGTCACTGGGAAGGGAAGTCAAGAAGGTACAGCAGGCTAGTATTTGGATAAGGCTGACATGAGTGATGTGAGGTTAGTTTCATCCCCTGTCTTACCAGAACAGGCAGTCCCCACCCTCCTTTATTCTTATAGAAAAGGAGGTCTACCAAGAACCGTGTGGACTGAGCTAGTCACAGTGAAGGTGAAAGGAAGAGCAGAGGGATCGCAAAGCCATGCCAAGAGCAGATTGGTAGCAGTGTGAACACAGTCTGTGTAGATGCTAGTGAGATCAGGCAAAATGAGCTCAGCCACAGGCCCAGAATCAGAGCATGTCAACAGATACTTAATGCCTCAGTGTGACCCAATAGAAGGGCATGACAGGGACTCGAGGAAGTCATTCCAAACTCCTGACCTGCAAAATAACACGACAGGCAGTCCAGGAGACATGTGGGACGAGCCCAAGGGGGTGAGGCAACAGCCTAGGGCTCCGTGACAAGTAAGTTATTAGACAACCAAAGGGCCCAGTTAACCACCTTTCCCCTAAATTCGTGTTCCCTGATCACACAAGTTAGTGAGTATGTGCAACCAAAAAGCAGTCAAACACATACCTGTTTTTTTCCAAAACTCCACAGGTACATATCCTGTACCTGGCCTACTGCTGAATTCCCTCTGAGAATCTGCAGAACAAGGAGAAACAGTATAGGATCAGAAGTTGTCTATGATCAGCAGTTTTATTTTTATGAAACAAGTTTTCTCAAACTTCTCATTCACCACTTAGACTCAAACATGTATATTCATTTCTGGGCTGGGCATCGTGGCTCACGTCTGTAATCCTAGCACCAAAGTGGGAAGCTGCGAGGACACCAGTGAGGTAGGAGGAGGATCACCAGAGCCCAGGAGTTCCAGGCTGCAGTGATCTGTGGTTGCACCTCTATAGTCTAGCACTCTAGCCTGACGAACAAAGTAAGGCCCTGTCTCTAAAAATAAAAAATATTGAAAAAAAAATCTGATAGGGCTAAAGTCAGATTAAAATAGTACACTTAATTTTTAGTTTTAAAACACAAACAGGCATCAAATATTAACAGTATTTCAAGGTAGTAAGATTAAAAGTGATCTTTACTTTCTACTTATCTTTTTACCTAATTTTTTCCCCTAAAAACATGTACATGTATATAAGGTCTTTTCTGTTTTTTGAGACAGAGTCTTGCTCTGTTGCCTGGGCTAGAGTATAGTGGAGTCATCATAAGTCACTACAACCTCAACCTCCTGGGCTCAAGGGGTCCTTCTTGCCTTAGCTTCCTGAGTAGCTGGGGCTACAGGCACACACTACAATGCCTGGCTAAGTTTTCTATTTTAAGTAGAGACGGGGTCTTGCTCTTGCTCAGGCTGGTCTGGAACTCCTGAGCTCAAGCAATCTTCCTGCCTTGGCCTCTCAGAGTGCTAGGATTACAGGAGTGAGCCACCACGCCCGGTCAATATAAATTTCATTTTCTTAAAAGAAATCTCCAACAAGCTTCTGAGCTATTCTAGTGTGACCTGGGTGCTTTCTAGGCTTGCTGTACCACCGCTGCTTGGGCACTCCCTCACGCCCTAGGATTCGCTCGCTCTTCCTTTCTTATGTTGAATCTTAGTCCATATCTCCTACCTTCTGGTTTACTTCCATGTATCGAGGCATATCCTCTGTAGGCATCATGAGAAAGGGTAAGTGGGAAGTACATTTGTTAAGAAATTGTGGTTTGTTAATCTAACACTTAATTGTTTTGGTTAAGTACAGAATTCTAAATTAAAATAATTTTTCTTGAGAATTGTCTTCTAACTTTCAACAATGCTAACTTGGTTAACTGTTTCTTTCACTGTTCTGTCTACTCAGTAGACTGGTTCAACTTGGAACTGTCTTTCAGTTCTTGGCAATATTTTAGATTTTATTCCAATAACTAGGCTGGGTGTGGTGGCAATCCTAGCACTTTGGGAGGCCAAGGTGGGAGGATCGTCTCAGGAGGCTGAGGCAGAAGGACTGCTTGAGCCCAGGACTTTGAGGTTGCTGTGAGCTAGGCTGATGCCACAGCACGCTAGCCTGGGCAACAGAGTGAGACTCTGCCTCAAAAAAACAAAAACAAAAACAAAAAAGAGACCAGTAACTATTCCATCTTCTCTGATTGTTTTATTCACTCTTTTTGAAACTCATGATTTAGATATGAGTTGGGTAGATTTTTTTTTTCTTATCTTTTTCTTGCCAGGGATATTAACTCTATTTTTGGAAGTTTTCCTTTCCTTGAAGAGCTCCTGTTAACTTCCATTTATTGTTATTTTTATTTCTTAGGCAATGTCTCACTCTGTCATGGGAATTGGAGTACAGGATGATGATCATAGCTCACTGTAACCTCGAACTCCTGGGCTCAAGCTTCCGAAGTAGCTGCTACCACGCATGCATCATCATGCCCTGTTAAATTTTGTTTTTTTTGTAGTTGAGAGAGGGTCTCCCTTGTGGCCCAGGCTGGTCTTGAACTCCCAGCCTTAAGTGATCTTCCCATATCCAAGCCTCCTAAAGTGTTGGGATTACAGACATGAGCTCCTGGCACCATTTCTTTTTCTTTATTTTGGTCTTCACCTTTTTTTATTTTTTGAGATAGAGTCTCACGTCTCACTCTGCTGCCTGGGCTAGAGTGCCATGGCATTAGCCTAGCTCACAGCAACCTCAAAGTCCTAGGCTCAAGCAATCCTTCTGCCTCAGCCTCCCGAGTAGCTGGGACTACAGGCATGTGCCACCATGCCCAGCTAGTATTTTCTATATATTTTTAGTTTGCCAATTAATTTCTTTCTATTTTTATTAGAGATAAGGTCTCACTCTTGCTCAGGCTGGTCTCGAACTCCTGACCTTGAGTGATCCTCCTGCTTCGGTCTCCCAGAGTGCTAGGATTACAAGTGTGAGCCACCGCGCCTCGCCTTTGTCTCCACCTTTAATATTAGAGGCTTATCTCTAAAATTTGGTCACCCTTAACTGCTAACACATACCACTAAAAAAGCTGCCTGGAAGCCCCACAACAGTGAATGGAGCCCATTGTTGTGGGCTTAATTAGAGGTAGTTTTCCCAAACTTTGCTGTTTACTGGACTCATTGAACATATACAGTTAGATTCTTTTTTTTTTTTTTTTTAACCAAAAGCCAGCAGATACAGTTAGATTCTTGTGTCCTAGAATCATAACCTCCAGGGAAGGGCCCAGAATGTTTATTTGTAGTAAACATCCAGGTTGACTCTTATTCTGAGAATAAACTGATAGCTAGAGTCAGTTTCTTTCCATTAAAAAAAATTTTAATTATAAAATATAGTTCGTAAAAGTATTAATTACAATTTAATGAAATATATGAATTAAATGGCCATGAGCCCTAGTTCAAGAAAGAACAGTACCAGCAACACCCCCGCCCGCAAGAGGTAAGCAGTGGTAAGCCACAGCGATGTTCAGTTTGGAGCCAGACTGGCAAGCCTGTCCTGGGAAGAGCTGAGAAAGATGGCTACTGTGCACCACCTCTACACTCATCACCCACACCCCAGAGGAAACCATTCTCCTGATGCTGTGATAAGCATTTCTTTATTTTTCCTTATGGTTTTCACACTTATTTATACATCTTTAAATAAAGTACCTGACTATATTCCTTATTGTCTAAAAAAAAATCTGTTCCTGAAAATATTCTGAATCACAAATGCTCAGAGAGTAGAAGACTGTACTGCATTATTTTAAATTAGGAAAAATAATAACGCCATCCAAAGTCTCTAATAAATTTCTCTCCAAAATTACCAAAACATTTAAATACTAAATACTTAAATAACAGTCCTCCTGGGGTTTCTGTATAATGTAAGACTTTAAAATGAAAAGAAACTATGTCAGAATGCAAAACGACCATGTCTCTTAAGAATACTGTTTAGTTTAGATGATTCTTTTCATAGGGAGATTTTCTTGGTGAAGTGAACAGTATTCAATGTATCCTGGTGTAAGCTCCTCATAGCATTACAGACCAGTAACAATTTTTAGGATAGCTTTGGTTCACATTTTGAATAGTATACATGTTTAGGATATGAATTCCATTTGTTCTATACTAAAACAGACATGTATTATATAAAAAAGAGCATGAGATAAATATATATAACATGTATAAATAATGATACTAAAAGATACTATTTAAATCAGACAGGTTGATAGTGCCCTCAGAACCCTGATAGAAGGCAATAAAGGGGGTCCATAAAGAGCTAAACCTAGAGTGACAATATAATTTATCATCCAAATTGTTCTCATTTTTTAGAGGAAGGGAGGTGGTAGTAGCAACTATGATAAGATACAGGCATAAACTGGGACTGTCCCAGGCAGATCAGAACATATGGTCACCCTAGCTAAACCCTCAAGCAAAGGTGAGAAAGATGACTAATGGTGATGCATAGCAATGCTTAAATGACAACTAGACCTGCAATCCTGGCTGAAAAACAGCTGGCTTGTGACTACAGCTCACTCTGTACTCTATGCCTTCTCACCTGGACACATGCAGACTCATCCACAGAAAGTGGATGGTTTGGATGGTGAACTTTAGGTAAGTTTCTGCAAGTTGTTATAAGGAATATTTGTCAGGGTTCAGATGGTTAGGGAGACCAGAGGATTAGCATTTGTCTGTGTTTCAAGGTTTTGTAAAAGCAATCATACTACCAGTATTCTTTGATGTCTTGCTGTGCTAGATATGCAACATAATGGTGCTAATCTCTGGCTGACTGAAGAGCTATTGCTATGGGTGGCATGGCAGAGTGGGATCCATTAGCTACCAACGTCTGGACATGCTACAGTAATTCTGGCTTTGCCTCAATTTTTTTTTTTTTTTTTGTAGTCTCTTGAAACTAACAGCCATCTTTTATGTGGAACATGTTAGGTCTGTCATAAGAAGAGATTCGTTCTCCCTGATGAACATTTGGGAACTTAGAGTGGGTGGATGGGGAAAGAGTCAGATCACAGATGGCCTGTCAATCAGCTGAGCCTTTCATAGGGCACCTTTTCAGTTACTGGGTGAATGTGATGGAACATTTTTTGGGAGTAACTGTGGCTTCCTGGATGTGCTCTGAATTGAGAGAAGAGCTGCTCTTGCCTCTGCTGCTATAGGTTGGGAAAAGGCAAGATGGTACAACTCAGTTTGGCACAGTAAAAGCTTTTGTTGAGGCCACCCAGCTGTGGTTGCTAAGTGGTACTTTCCTGGATGGAGGTGGGGAAAAGAGGAAGGAAGGTAAGCTGAACACATTCAAAGCTGCTGTGAGGAATCGAAGTGATGACACTACAGTACCTCCTAGGACATTCAGCCAGGCTGAATTTAATAACCACTCTTTGATTATGACCCAGCACATAAATATGCAGAGAGAGTTAAAGAAAGAACAAACTCACATATTTTCTCATTCTCTGTGAGGGAGAATTAACATTTCTTGAACATGCCCAGTACTGAGTGCTTCACATATTTTCTCATTTACTCTCCATAATCAAATGAGTCTCCCTAACTCCATAATCTAGCACCATCTTCTTTTAACGTAAAATGGAAAAAGCCTTCCTTACCATATTAGGTAGAGTCCTTAGGCTAATGTTTATTCTAGGTTCCCTTCAGACTCTCCCCTTACCATTGCTGAGAGAATCTGCAGTCCCAGGGCTGTGCTGCCTGGAGACCAACTCTGTCCCTGTTTTCCTCATGTCTGTGTTTTCATTATATCGTCTTTTCCAGTAGTTGAGCTCTTCACGATCAGATTCCTGACAGCGCCGCAGAACTGCCATGGAACGCCGTGTTTTCTCTACCATTTCCATAATGCAATTCAGGGCCTGAGCCAGACAGGAAGTCAGGCAGAGATGAGATGAGGAAATTCAAACAACGAACATTGAAAATCAAGGACGGGTAAACACAATATAAAAAATTAAGGTTCAAGTATTTTACATTTAAAAGCCTTTATTATAGCTTATTTTGAAATATATACACACACAGCTATTCATTTTTTTTCTTTCTTTTTGTTTTGGTCTGTATAATCTAACAGATAGTTAAATTCATTTTTTTATTTCAAAATAAGGCTTTTTGGATTCTTCAAGGTTGAAGCAACCATATATAGTCTCATAATAATATGATCTATTACAGACTGGTTAACCTACAGTAAATCTCTGTCTAAATCCACTAAATCATCTGACAAAGCTAGAGATTTTTATAAGAATTCAATGAGAGAAATAAGGACCACGGACAACTATCACTCAAGAAGGAAAAGCTACTGCATGTAAATTTCAAGTAAGCACTAATATCCTTTTTTCCCTTTTTAGAGAGAAGGGAAACTCTTCCAATGGGGGAGAGAACTCAGGCTTACATTCTGTATCTGGCTTACATCACTTGTATTTGGAGGAAATCATGTATTTAACACGTCCTATGTACCAGGCACTGTGATAAGAATCTTATATATTATTATAGCCCTCCTGTGATTTCAAATAATGCAGCATTAAAAGACATAAAAATTAAGGCTAAAAGAGTATAACTTGCCTAGCTCACAATGATAAGAAGTAGCGAAGCTGGGACTTGAAGTCACAAACCTGTGAGGTTTTTTGTTTCGGTTTGATTTTTATTTTTTAGAGATAAGGCCTTGCTATGTTGCCCAGGCTGGCTCCTGGGCTCAAGTGATCCTCCTGCCTCAGGCCTTCTAAACAGCTGGAACTTCAGGCATATGGCATTGTACCCAGCTATGCTTTTAAACATTATGCTACATGACTTTACTTGGTTTGTGAACTGAAGTGATCATCCCACCACAAAGATTTGGGAGTGACTCTCTAGCTCTGTTGCTGAGGGAGTAGCAGATAAACCAGCTTGTATTAAAAGCAAAGGATGTTATGTCTGGTTATATTCACCTCAAGCATACATACTCCATTAACTATTGATAGTATTAAGAACCAAAAGCAATAGTTAGAGAAATTATACACTGTAAGGTTCTTACATGGTCAAGATGTTTCCATTCATCAGCCCATTCTCTTTCTGTCAAACGGTGGTCTACCAACTCATCTTGATAGCTTCCATTTAGACCTATTAGAAATTAGAGATTAAATTTGAAGACAGCAGGAAGAATACAGTAGTACCAAAATCTATAAAGTAAATATATATGCATTTGTAAGAACTTTGAACATGCTACTAATGATTCACAATGAGGTGCGGGACCGACAAAATGACATATACCCAACAAAATGTCATTCAGATTATGTAAAGAACTCTAATAAATCAATTATGAAAGACAAATAGCCCAAAATAAAAAATGGCAAAAGAAACAAATAGGTATCTCATAGATAAGAAACTACATATGATCCATAATCATCTAAAAAGATACTCAAACATATAAGTAGTCAGGCAATGCAATAAAAACTTCAATGAGATGGCATTTTACATTTAACATATAGGAAAAATTAAAACATCATATAATACTAAGTGTTATCAAGGATGTGGTGCAATATAAATACTTAGCCACCAAAACTAGAGTGTATGCTAGCACAACTACTTGGAAAGAGCTTAGTATTACCATAGTATTTTGGGGGGCATGGTTTTGATATATACTAAAATATCCAGGAATGCAATGATGATGTGAATCAAAAGTTGTCAGCTGTTTTGAAAAACTCGTGTCACATATGGTAACACTGCTGATAGTCTTTGAATCATTAAAACAACACCTCTGTTATCAGTCTGAATTTACAGGTATTGTATTCATAGTGATTCTGTATCAGGGCAAGAACCTGCTTATTTCATTATATCTTCTAATGTAGTCATGCCTGAGCACTAACATTTTATTATAAGATACTTTCTTACATATTCAGTTAGGATAGAATATTGGTCCTAAAATTATGGATCTAAGATAGGCTATATTACATCTAAATTTCATTTTAAGACAGCAAAGGCTGTAGTATATTTGTTTAAAGGAGGTGGTAATGAATGGCTTGGTAACAGCTCAGTAGCACGGTACTAGGGCATGTGTTTTCCAACAGGACTGGTGAAAATTAAGGAATCTATAATGAGCCTGGAAGACAAATGGTTGAACCTAAAAGACCATCAAGGTAGATGATTGGTTGAAGAATACTTCAAGATGGGAAAAAAAATATTTTTTTCTAAAATTGTAGAAATACAAGTAAAATATGACAAAAAAATGCAATTATAAGAACCAGGTATGGTGGTATGTGTCTATAGTCCCAGCTACTAAGGAGGCTGAGACAGTAGGATTGCTTAAACCAACGAGTTCAAGTCCAGCCTTCAGCAACTTAGTGAAACCCCATCTCTAATCAAATCAATCAATCAAGTCAAGTCAACAATTTTAAAAAGGCAGTTATAACTAATGGTTAGCACATTTCTTTTGCATATCAAACTGGCAAAAAAAAGGGTATGAATATAAAAGAAAACAATAATAAATGTAGTGTTTTAACAGATTAAAAGAGAGACATTGAAGGAATGGGGATTGGACACAAATATAAGCACTATAACATACTGCCAGTGCACCAAAGCGTGGGGCATCAAACAACTGGGATCTGAATCTTGTCTCTGCCACTTATGAGCTATCTATAAAGAGAGATAACAACTGCCTGGAACTTCTGTGAGGATTAAATGAGATAATGTAGGTACAACACAATCTGAGTGGTAGCTAAGACTGAGTAATGATACTGAGAACATCATAGCTGCCATAGACGTCACTATTCAGCCACCACTGTATGAAGCCAGGGACCCTACTGTGGTCCAAGCCTCTGAACAATGCTAGTGAGCAGAAATCAGAAGAGAGGGGCAAATGCTTTACAATTTCTTACTCTACAAGGTACCCCACAAATTGAAATTTAGGAGAAACCCTGGAAGCTGGTAACTCTTTGGTTCTGTGCCCTGACAGATGCTTAGCAGTTAAACTCCAAAAAATCTCCTGTGGTAAGCTTGTATGAGTATGTGACAAAAAGCTCTGTCCAAAATTGATCTCAGATGAGGTTAGGATTTTTTGTATGTTTGTTTCTTCCTATCTTTTTTTCTTCTTTTTTTAAAATGTTATAATACATTATATACTTTTTCTTTTTTTTTTCTGAGATTTTAATTGCTTTAAGTCAAAGAACATTTCTTCCTAAATTTAATGGCCTTTGGGGCCTCATGTGAGAGGCATTCCAAATGTAACAACCCAGCCCAGGTAGTGGTGTTATCTCTATTTTAGAAATTATATTCTGAGACTCAGAGAGCCTAAGCAACTTGCATGAGATCACACAGCTAGTTAGGACACAGAGCCAATTTTTAAATTCCGATATGCCTCAACTCTTGACCTAAATGTCCATGCATGTACTTTCACTTCTAAGACTACGTATTTTGCATCTTTCTTGCTTTAAATTTTAAAACTTCTATTCTTAAATAAATTCAGACTTACAGAAATTGCAAGAATAGTACAAAGAAAACTCACAAACCCTTCATAAGGGTTTCTCAAATGTTATTATTTTATCTCATTTGCTTTTTCATTCTCTATTTTTTTCGGAACCATTTGAGAATAAGTGATACCTCTTTCTTCTTTTTACCAGCTTATCCCTAGAATTTGTTCAGTTTTAATCTCCACTTATCACTGAATTAATTTTGCTATTTTTCTCAAGTTGATTTTACTTTATCCAGAGTTCCCTCTTGATAGTAATCCTACTTCTATCATATGATGATATGAACAAGGTATAAAGTGAGATCAATATTAAATTAAATCAACCATAACTCTAATATTCCCTTTTATGTATAATATTGTTTTATCTAATTAGTGGGAAAAAGCAATAATGATATTATTTGACTTTATCACTGACAAGGAAAGAAATCTAAGAATTCAGTCTGAATTTGAATCATTATCATGCTGCTTACGTCACTTACTAAGATTATGGTGCCTATCACGAACTTCTCGATGTTCTAGCACCTTGTTGGGTTCCCGATACAGGTGTGAAGTTGCAATATCTTCTAAGGTGTAATGCTGAAGAGGTGGAGGAGTAGGATGGAACTGGCCCCCAGGATTCATGAGAGGTACAGTGAGAGCAGGACTATGCCGGGGAGCAGGGCTAATGGTACACACTCTCTTGGCAGGAGGCTCAGGAGCAATCGAATCTCTTTCAAAACTAGTCTCTTCTCTCCTGTAGAGGAACCAGACATGCACATCTGAGCCTGTCAACAAGTGTTCATGCAAACATTTCCTGTACACCTACATTGTGTTACATATTATGTTATACACTATCATAAATAAGATAATTTATTTATGGAATGTATGGATGATGTATGGAAAGGCATGACATGAAGTGTGACAGGAATTGTCTTCAAGAGCCAGGCACATCATGTAAATTGTTGATTTATTCCAGGATGAAAAGAAGGGTCAAATCCATCCAAAACTACACCGAAATATCTAACCTTCATGAAGCAAAGGAGAGACTAAGGAGATGACATTTTCCTATGTAATAGTAATATTAAGAATCATGGGTTCAGGCCAGGGGCCGTGGCTTATGCCTGTAATCCTAGCACTCCAGGAGGGCAAGGTGGGCAGATTGTTTGAGCTCAGGAGTTCGAGACCAGCCCGAGAAAGAGTGAGACCCCGTCTCTACCAAAAATAGAAAAAATTAGCCATGGTGGCACATGCCTGTAGTCTCAGCTACTCAGGAGGCTGAGACAAGAGGATCGCTTGAGCCCAGGAGTTTGAGGTTGCTGTGAGCTAGGCTGATGCCACGGCACTCTAGCTGGGGCAACAGAGTGAGAGTCTGTCTTAAAAAAAAAAATTATGGGTTCAAGTATATTTTGGAATGTTTTAAGATCAAATTTGTTACCATGGAGGTGAGATATCAGAAAGACACAATTCTCTACATGGGAGAAAAAAAGGCTCACATAAGTAATCCACTTGTGACTTGGTAAGATTTTCAATCATTCAGCTTCAAAACTGTAACAAGTTTTCTACTGTTGTTAAAATATTGCTTCTAGGCCTGCCCAGTGGTTCATGCCTGTAATCCCAGCACTTTGGGGGACTGAGGCAGGAGAACTGTTTGAGGCCAGGAATTTGAGACCAGCCTGAGTAACATAGTGAGACCATGTCTCTACAAAAAAAATTTTTTTAGATTAGGGCTGGGCATGGCTGGCTCATGCCTAGGACTCTGGGAGGCCAAGGAGGTCAGGAGCTCAAGACCAGCCTGAGCACGAGTGAGACCCTGTCTCTACTAAAAAATTAGCCAGGCATGGTAGAACATGCCTATAGTCCCAGATACTTGGGAGGCTGAGGCAGGAGAATCTCTGGAGCCTGGGTGGTTGAAGTTGCACTGAGCTATGATGACACCACTGCAGTCTACCTGGGGCAAGAGAGCGAGACTGTCTGAAAAACAAACAAACAAAAAAGTAGCTACCCATAGAAAATTTTGGTAGCTACTCATAATGAATTTTAAAGAATAAATTCATAGAATTATAATCTCAGTAAAAGTGATTCATTGGTATTAATAATTAATTGTTATACTTGTTCAAGAGTTCACAAATTAGAAAAAATGCCTCTGACATAAAAATAATAAAAATTCTCCTTTAAAAAACGAAAAAAAAAATGCCTTTGGGAGATATTTCTTAGGCTTCTGGAACAGTGGATCCATAGAATGCTCTAGAGCAGAACACCTCTCTCACCAGGGATGTGTAGAGTCATCTAAAGTGTTTTTGAAAAGTACTCATGTCTGGGAGTTACTCCTAGATTTTAGACTTATACGATTACTTGTTGTTGGGATCAAGCAAAAATAACCTTTGAAAGTCTAAGATATTACCAGTCTATAACCATAGAAATAAAATTCTTTCTTTCATAAGCAAAGGGAAAGGTCAGAGTTGTTCCAGAAAGGCAAGGACAACAAACCGCTTCTCTGCTTACCTCTCTGGACTGGGCCTCTTCCCGTTTCCATGTACCTCCATGAGCAGCTCGGAAGAGTCAGCAGGTGACGCAATGCTTGTGTTGAGCAGAAGGTGTTCGTGCTGAGCCAGGTACTGGGATGGGGTCTGCTTGGCTGCCCGAGCACAGTGTAGCAGTTCTCGCTGCAGCAGAGGCAGGTTAGCCTTGAAAAGAAGAGGCAGTTTTCCTAGTGTTGGGCCCTACACAACAGGGCTCAGCATCTTAAAAGGCTTTCACAAAGCAGATGATACAAAAGCCCTCCTCTCCTTGTCAGTATGGTTTTCACATGCCGCTTCTATGGGTACAGTGGCATCGATTATACTGTATTCGAATTATTGGTTGACTCATCTTTTCCCACAACCAGGTGTAAATCCTCTTAAGGATGAGATTGCACCATATTTACCATTCAGGTCCAGTACTGAGTCAAAGTTCAATAAAGGTTTGTTGAACACAATAATTTAAAAACATACATTTTTGAAGACTTTGGACAGTTAGAGAATCATTACAGCCTACATAGGAATAGGAGTAATTCATCTTTTCTTCTATCATTACAAGCCCTGGTTTCACTCTTCTGAATTCCAACCCATCTCTATGGCATTATTCAACCACCCTTCATGTTCTCTATGAGAGCTGCCACAGAATTCTGGAAACTATGATTATTCTGCAACACAGGGATTTGTAAAGAGTACTGTGAGTAATGCAATACATAAAAGGTTAATTAGGCCGGGCGCGGTGGCTCACGCCTGTAATCCTAGCACTTTGGGATGCCGAGGCGGGCGGATTGCTCAAGGTCAGGAGTTCGAAAACAGCCTGAGCAAGAGCGAGACCCTGTCTCTACTAAAAATAGAAAGAAATTAATTGGCCAACTAAAAATATATAGAAAAAATTAGCCAGGCATAGTGGCGCATGCCTGTAGTCCCAGCTACTCGGGAGGCTGAGGCAGGAGGATTGCTTGAGCCCAGGAGTTTGAGGTTGCTGTGAGCTAGGCTGATGCCACGGCACTCTAGCCTGGGCAACAAAGCGAGACTCTGTCTCAAAAAAAAAATAAATTAAAAAAAATGATAATTAATTATGTACTCATATTTTTCCTTCTCTCATACTTAAAAAACCTGCAATGGGGAATCATATTTAAAACCCAATACCATCTTTTTTTTGTTTGAGACAGAGTCTCGCTTTGTTGCTCAGGCTAGAGTGAGTGCCATGGCATCAGCCTAGCTCACAGCAACCTCAAACTCCTGGGCTCAAGCAATCCTGCCTCAGCCTCCCGAGTAGTTGGGACTACAGGCATGTGCCACCATGCCCGCCTAATTTTTTTCTACATATATTAGTTGGCCAATTAATTTTATTTCTATTTATAGTAGAGACGAGGTCTCGCTCTTGCTCAGGGTGGTTTCGAACTCCTGACCTCAAGCAATCTGCCCGCCTCGGCCTCCCAGAGTGCTAGGATTACAGGCGTGAGCCACCGCACCCGGCCCCTATACCATCTTTTTTAAAAATTTGAGACAGGGTCTTGCTCTGTTGCCCCAGCTAGAGAACAGTGGCGTCAACATAGCTCACTGCTGCCTCGAACTCCTAGGCTCAAGTGATCCTCCTGCCTCAGCCTCCTGGGTAGCTGGGACTACAGGCGCACACCTCTACACCAGGCCATAAAACTCTATACATCTTTTAAACTTCAGGATTCTAATTCCTTCATATATACAATTTACTTTTCTCATATTTGTTTTATCAGAAAAATGCAAAATAAGAATTATATTTTTTTCACCAAAACAATCCAGGCTAAGCTCATTAATAGAAACTTTTATCCCAAGGGACACACATGCAAGTGAAGGGAGAGTTTTAATATATGTAAGTAGTCATACTTCACTGAGGGTTAATTTAGCAGGCACCATAATTAGTGATGGTTTTAAAGCAGAAATAAATTGACAAAACCCCAAATGCTAGCCAAAAAGCTGCCATAACAACCTACCTCATGCTGTTTTCCAAAATAACAGAGTTAAGAATAGGAAATTCGATGATATAAAACACTTTCTAAGTCTGTTCTATAACCTCAATATTATTTCAACTGTAAAAACTTAATTGAAAAAAATACCATGACAGATCTTTACATTTGTGACATGTGTCCTTTGATGAATAAAAAAGATTATTTCCTATTAACACAAATCTTTCATGATTTTGGAGTCTTGGAGAAATAATTATCTACTGGCTCTAAAATACAGAAAGGAGACCAAGATAGAACTAGCACAGCTGTTTCAGGGCTGAAAAAGGAGCCACAGACTGCTTGGAGCAGCTGAGGCTTCAATGCTATTAGAAAAAAGCCATAATACAGGCTATGCACCTTAGACCTAAGCAAAATTGCCTATATGTCTGATATGTGCCAATTTAAAAAGTTTTTAAATTTTAAAAACTGGTGCCTGTACTTTAGTAAGATAATAGTATCTTTCTGATGATATTATATTTGCTTAGGAAATGAAAGTAAGGTAACAGAAAGTGAAAGTGGTGTATTTATTTGGCCAGACAGTAAATATTTTAGGCTTTGTAACTTGAAGCAAAATTAAGATTATATAGGTACTCATAAAAAAAGACAGAAAATACATTTCCATAAATATTACATTGACAATATTCCAAATATAGTAACAATTGAGTATAGTTGTGGGTTTTTTGGTAATATTAATCTACTACTAATGAAAAGAATGAAATTCTTTGTTCAAGGTGGGAAGAGGAGATAAATAACACTTAGTTTAAGTAAGGTTCAAGGTAGTATTCCCTGTCACCAAATTGACTGCAAATGTTCCTCTGTAAAAACCATTTTTAGACATGGTACAAAAAACCATGTGGTGGGTAGGACCTCGGTCATAGTTTGCCCAAACTGGTATCCAACACACTAGTATCTGACTCAATGCCATAAAGCTATTTTATTTATTATTATTTCTTAAATTTTTCGAATTAAAAAAATATGAAAAGGGGGGGAGGCGAATTAAAAAAATTAAAAATGTAAAAATTAAAAAATTTTCCTAGGCCGGGCACAGTGGTTCCCACCTGTAATTCTAGCACTCTGGGAGGCCAAGGCGGGTGGATCTTTTGAGCTCAGGAGTTTGAGACCAGCCTGAGCAAGAGTGAGACCCCATCTATACCAAAAATATAAAACATTAGCCGGGCACAGTGGCCCATGCCTGTAGTCCCAGCTACTGAGGCCGAAGGATTGCTTGAGCCAAGGAGTTTGAGGTTGCTGTGAGCTAGGCTAACGCCACGGCACTCTAGTTGGGCCAGCAGAGTGAGACTTTGTCTCAAAAAAAAAAAAAAAAAAAAAAAAAGTCCTATCTGCTAAATGATGTGAGATGATTTATTTTATAACTCTGTTCTATATCATATAGATAACTGATAGCAACGTAAAATAATGGTTGTCTATGGACATATAAATTATGCCCAGTAGAGGTTCAACTGACTTCTTTTGCCTGGTGTAGAAAACGCTAGTTTTCACTTGTGTTCACAGTTATATCAGTAATTCTGAACCTTAATGTATATGTTCTTTAGATTCTCCTTTCACTTGGTTGTAACATCCTATTGATTCCCTCATTAACTGTGAGTTAAATAAAATCTTTGACAGTGTTCATTTTTTTGTCTGTATGAGTCATAATGTTACTTATTTTTGAAAATTATTGTTTTACAGGAGAAAAAGTAACTTTACAGTGAGAAAGTGGGCAGATACTGCCTTTACTAAGTCATCAAATAGTTTCAAAGATGGGACTAATTAAAACCTTTTCCTCCTGATAGCATGCAGGAATAGCACTTACTTGCTATTCCTGCTTAAAATGTATTACCTGATTCTAATCATGATAAAGTATAAAAAAAACCCAAATCAAGGTACATTCTATAAAGTAACTGTCCTATGCTCTTCAAAAATGTCAAGATCATGAAAAGACAAGAAACTGTTTCAGATTAGAGTAAACTAAAGAGACCTCACAACTAAATAGGTGAGATCAACAGGTGATCTTGAATTAGATCCAGGACCACCCTTGCCGCCAAAGTTTTTCTTTTGCTGGAAAAGACATTAGTGGTACACTTGGTGAAATATGAATAAGGTCTATAGATAAGATAATAGTGTTGTATGAATGTTCAGTTCCTCATTTGATAATTGTATTAACGTGTTTAGACGTATAATATCTGTAGTTTGTTCTCAAATATTTCTGAGGAAAAAATAGGATGATATGTGGTAAAATATTAACATTTGGAGAATGTCAGTTCAGGGTACACAGGAATTTTATTGTACCATTTTTTGGCTTATTGTGAGCATGAAATTATTTTAAAATAAAAAGCTTTTTGGCCAGACAGGGTGGCTTATACCTATAATCCTAACACTCTAGAAGGCCAAGGTGGGAAGATTGCCTGAGCCCAGGAGTTTGAGATCAGCCTGATCAAGAGTGAGACCCCGTTTCTACTAAAAATAGAAAAATAGCCAGGCGTGGTAGCATACTTCTGTAGTCCCAGCTACTTGGGAGGCTCAGGCAGGAGGATCACTTAAGTGCAAGAGTTGGAGGTTGCAGCGGGCTATGATGATGCCACTGCACTCTGTCCAGGGCAACAGAGCAAGACTCTGTCTCAAAAAAAGCGTTTTAAAAGGGGCACATTCCATAAAATATAACACAGCCTCACTTATCACATAAGCATGATAATTTTGGACAGTGTCCCCCAAAGTTATGTTCCACAGAGCATAAATTGCACCAAGGGACACTGTTAGAAACTAGATTGAAGCTTGAGAAGATACAAACATTGTCTTCCTACATCTTCTCCTGACTTTAGAGTAAGTGCAAATTGCAAAGCATCTTCTCTAAGATAACACACACTCTTCAGGCTCTGCTCTGGCCATACCCAAAAGATTTAGTGCTCAGTTATTTCCTCTGCCAAGAGCCACCCTCTACCCCAACCCCACCCTCCTAGCCCAATCACCACCTACTCCCTCCTGCACACAGACCACAACTCAAGGCTTTTGTAATTCTCATCTCATCAAACATGAGGCTTATCTGCAGATTATACTCACACCTCTCTTCCAGTCTAAAATATAAGAAACATATAAAAACATGGAAAGCCCTCCTGATTTAGATCACAGAACAGAGATCAGTAGATCTTGAGGACTAGTGAAGATAAATTACATTTAGTAGTTATCTGATAGAATTACCTTGAGAAATGGAATCACAAAAGGACGAAGAGGGAAGTTTGTGGCCTCTTGGAGCTTACAATGGAATTCTTCAATTGTCACTGTTGAGTTCTGAAAAGATAAATAACTTTATTCAATTTCCAAAACTGGACACTGGCTTACAATGCCGAACTCTTTTAAATCATAAGGAAAGGAAAGGATAATTCCAAGAGCACTATTATGAACTCAGACTCCTCTCACAAATTAACTAAATTCTACCTACCTACCTACCTACCTACCTACCTACCTACCTACCTACCCACCCACCCACCCACCCACCCATCCATCCATCCATCCATCCATCCATCCATCCATCCATCCATCCATCCATCCATCCATCCAGAGTCTCGCTTTGTTGCCCAGGCTAGAGTAAGTACCATGGCGTCAGCCTAGCTCACAGCAACCTCAATCTCCTGGGCTCAAGCAATTCCCCTGCCTCAGCCTCCCAAGTAGCTGGGACTACAGGCATGCGCCACCATGCCAGGCTAACTTTTTCTATATATATTAGTTGGCCAATTAATTTCTTTCTATTTATAGTAGAGACGGGGGTCTCGCTCTCACTCAGGCTGGTTTCGAACTCCTGACCTTGAGCAATCCACCTGTCCAGGCCTCCCAGAGCGCTAGGATTACAGGTGTGAGCCACTGTGCCCGGCCAAGGTGGCATTTCTTAAATATTTTGGTCTCAGAACCCATCTTATTTATGTAGGTTACAACTATTGATAGTCATGATATCAGAAATTAAAACTGAGAATTTAAAAAGTATTTATATTAATCTATTTCAAACTAATTCATCACATATTAAAATAAATAATATTTAAAAAATAAAACATGGCAGGGCGCAGTGGCTCATCCCTGTAATGCTAGCACTCTGGGAGGCCGAGGCAAGTGGATAGCTCAAGGTCAGGAGTTCGAGACCACCCTGAGCAAGAGCAAGACCCAGTTTCTACTAAAAATAGAAAGAAATTAATTGGCCAGCTGAAAATATATATAGAAAAATTAACTGGGCATGGTGGTGCATGTCTGTAGTCCCAGTTACTTGGGAGGCTGAGGCACAAGGATCGCTGGAGCCTAGGAGTTCGAGGTGCTGTGAGCTAGGCTGACACCACAGCACTCTAGCCCAGATAATAGAGTGAGACTCTGTCTCAAAAATAAATAAATAAATAAATAAATAATAAAACATAACTACATGGGCTCAAACTGAAGTGTGCTAAAAAAGAAATAATTAGCCAGGCGCGGTGGCTCACGCCTGTAATCCTAGCACTCTGGGAGGCCGAGGCGGGCGGATTGCTCAAGGTCAGGAGTTCAAAACCAGCCTGAGCGAGACCCTGTCTCTACCATAAAAATAGAAAGAAATTAATTGGCCAACTAATATATATAATATAAAATCAGCCGGGCATGGTGGCTCGTGCCTGTAGTCCCAGCTACTCGGGAGGCTGAGGCAGGAGGATTGCTTGAGCCCAGGAGTCTGAGGTTGCTGTGAGCGAGGCTGACGCCACGGCACTCACTCTAGCCTGGGCAAGAAAGCGAGACTCTGTCTCAAAAAAAAAAAAAAAAAAGAAATAATTAGGCCAGTCGTAGTGGCTCACGCCTGTAATCCTAGCACTCTGGGAAGCCTAGGCAGGCAGATCGCTCAAGGTCAGGAGTTCAAAACCAGCCTGAGCAAGAGTGAGACCCCATCTCTACTAAAAATACAAAGAAATTATTTGGTCAACTAAAAATATATATATAAAAATTAGCCAGGTGGCTAATTAGCCATGGTGGCTCATGCCTGTAGTCCCAGCAACTTGGGAGGCTGAGGCAGAAGGATCGCTTGAGCCCAAGAGTTTGAGGTTGCTGTGAGCTAGGTTGATGCCATGGCACTTTAGCCCGGGCAACAGCGTGAGACTTTGTCTCCAAAAAAAAAAAAATAATTGTATTTTCTAAAAGAAATATAGTAAGAAGAATGACCGTGTTTTACTTTTGCAAATCTCTATATATCTAGCATAACAGAAGAAGCTGGATTCTGCTATCTACTTCTGCATTTAATCTGTTGCAATATCCTATGCCATGCAGCCTCTAGAAAATTCCACTGTATACTCAGAATAAAAGTAAAAACACAATATCTCAGTATTATTATGAAAAGTTTTGACCTTCTAGACTCCCGAAAAGGATCTTGAGGAATCCCTGGGGTCCCTGCATTATACTTTGAGAACTGTGACTTTAAGACTGGTATTGTGATTCATCTTCTTATCACGTAAAGATGGGCTACATGCAGGAAGGAGCACAGGATGCTTTTATTAGAGGTAAATCTTAAAGAATTTGATTTATAAATATTGGGAACTGGCAGTATTTCCCTTATAAACACTGACAGTTAAACACTACACAGTTGTCAATGTCAGAAAAATCATTCCTTTATATCACAGTTCACCATGCTCAGTACAAAAAGAAAACTGTGTACCTTGCAAATTCTAAAGAAACTCTATATGCATAAGGAGCTAAACAATGTAATCCCTTTGATACTACTTATTTAGATAATGAAACTTATAATTTTACAAATTATTACTTAGAAAATTAAACTTGCTAGTTCTCTATTCTCTTTGCTTAAAAAACAACGCACCAGGCACTGAATATATTAAATTACAGAACCTTGCATTAACTCAGCTGGACCCCAGCGGGCCTGCTGAAACCAGTTTTAAGGTGAATCCAAAGCTGCTTATTGGAATTAAATCAACACCTTAAACGGTAAGGTAAACATTACAGATTTTGTTTCTTTGATAAACACTGTTGTCAGGAAACCTAAAATTCAAGTTTTATGCAAGTTATACAATAATCTAGTCTGTACAACTTGCCACATATTACTATAGGTTTGAGAATATGCAGAAATATCCACAACTTCTCTGTTAGCTTTAGATTTGAGCTACACACTCAGGAAGCTGTCAACAGTGATGCTGTACTTACCACCAATGCCAGAACAAGAGTCCGCACCTTCTCCCCAATCTCAGGTGAGATGTCATTGCCAAACTGTTGCAGAGTAGTGAGAAAGCGTTTCAACTTGCTGAGCTGCCGAGCACCACAAGTGGCTGGCAACTGCTGGTTTGTTAGTGCAGATGATGTGGAAGAGGCAGGACCATTGCTGAATCTCTGTGGTGGTGAGGGGGCACCATTCAGGGTAGGAGGAGAATGGTTGATTCCATTGCTTACTAAAAGAAAGCCAAAATGGAAGACTCAGGTTTAGTGTAAAATATAAGCACCTTCATTAATTTCTTCTTGTTTGCACTTCTTCATTTATTCAGTTTTGTGAAGCACATGTTCAAAGAGCATGCAAAACTGTTTCTGTCCTAGAGGAGATTGCTATTTAATGAAATGGACTATCAGGTAGAAATGATAACAGAGTAACACAGAAGTGTTAAAAAAGAAGTGTAGAGTGCCACAAGAGCACAGATAAGGGACATCTAATTCTACAGGGGGTATGGGCAAGGATGGGTAGTTTTAAGAAAGACTTCTTGCAAGGCCAGGCGAGGTGGCTCACACCTGTAATCCTAGCTCTCTGGGAGGCCGAGGCGGGCGGATTGCTCGAGGTCAGGAGTTCGAAACCAGCCTGAGCAAGAGCAAGACCCTGTCTCTACTATAAATAGAAAGAAATTAATTGGCCAACTAATATATATATAGAAAAAATTAGCTGGGCATGGTGGCGAATGCCTATAGTCCCAGCTACTCGGGAGGCTGAGGCAGAAGGATCGCTTGAGCCCAGGACTTTGAGGTTGCTGTGAGCTAGGCTAACGCCAGGGCACTCACTCTAGCCTAGGCAACAAAGCAAGACTCTGTCTCAAAAAAAAAAAAAAAAAAAAAGACTTCTTGTAATAGGTAGTGCTTGAGATGAGTGTGGGACAATAAATCTTTCCAGTGACTGGACACTCATGCCCATCTTTTCCATCACATCACCTTCCCAATCTCAGGGTCCTAAAGACACTAAACAGAAGGGAGCATGTGAACAAGATAACCAGAGTTATGATAACGTGGGGGATATTTTTCTAGGCTATAAATTTAATGATTTATTCCAACAAAAAGGTTCTCTTTGACTATTCAGAATACTAAAGTCCATTAGACTTATTTTCTCTCTGCGTTGATAGTGCTAGATCAGTATTGCCAAATTCTTGGTCATTACAGAAAAGTATCTTCAGGACTCCATAGAGGACATTTTCATTTTCTGTTTTTCTTTCTTTTTTTTTTTTTTAAGAGATGGGGTCTCACTATGCTTCCCAGGCTGGTCTTAAACGCCCATCCTCAAGTGATCCTCCTGCCTTAGCCTCCTAAAGTGCTGAGATTACAGGCGTGAGCCATCACACCCGGCCCCATTTTATATTTTTGATCAAATTATAAAAATGTAATTATAGTCACTTCTTGGTAGTTTTAATTTGGAAAATAATCCTAGACCAACATTTTTGGGGGCATGATGTAAAAACTTCCCGAGATAAAATGACCTAGTACTTGTCAATCCATTTTTGTATAATTATATCCATACTTGAAAATCTAAGATGAAACTGTATCTAAAAATATAAGAAATAATTTAAGTAAAGACTTGAGCATACAGGTGAAACATTGAATGGCTTTCAGTAAAAAAAAAATAATAAAAGAGAAAGATAAAAATATATAAAGAAAAAATTTAAAAGAAAAAATATTTATTAAAAAAAAAAAGACTTGAGTCATATTTAAAGAACCCAATCATTTAATCTTTGCCTAGCTTAGGAAACTGACATTTACTTATTATATTCTAACAAAAACTTATTAATCATGAAAAATCTTCCACTTCCCTTCTACTTCCTCTAAGCCAGTCATAGTCAGTTAACTATCTCTCTTCTTCTTGGATTGATCCTTATTCAAATTTGACCTGGCAAACTCTTCTTCATCCTATAGAGCTGTCACCTGTGTTAAGAAGCATACTTTCTATTAATAGCACTCTGGGAGATGGAGGTGGGAGGATCACTTCAGCTCAGGAGTTTAACAGCGCAAGCAAGAGTGTGATCCTGTCTCTACTAAAAATAATAGAAAAAATAAGCTGGGCTCGATGACACACGCCTGTAGTCCCAGCTACTTGGGAGGCTGAGGCAGGACTATCACTTGAGACCAGGAGTTTTGGGTTGATGTGAACTGTGATGATGTCACTGCACTCTAGCCCAGGCAACAGAGTTCGAGACCAGCCTGAGCAAGAGTGAGACCCCGTCTCTACTAAAAATAGAAAGAAATTAGCCAAACAACTAAAAATATATAGAAAAAATTAGCAGGGTGTGGTGGTGCATGCCTGTAGTCCCAGATACTCAGCAGGCTGAGGCAGAAGGATTGCTTGAGCCCAGGAGTCTGAGGTTGCTGTGAACTAGGCTGACACCATGGCACTGTATCCTGGGCAACAGAGCAAGACTCTGTCTCAAAAAAAAAAACAAAAAAAAAAACACCCCACAACCTTCTTTGTCACATGCTGCTGCTCCAACATTAAGGCAGACCCTAGTAGATTTACTAAATTTTCTCTGTGCTATTTATATACATGCTTCTACTATTTTACTTCGAGACTTATACTTCTTTCTATATTTGAACTGCCTTAATAGACTGTGCCCTTCTTGATGAATAGTACCTTACACATCTGTGTATACTGTAATTAAGTGTTTGTTTTGTTTTGTTTTGTTTTTGAGACAGAGTCTTACTTTATTGCCCACACTAGAGTGACTGCTGTGGCATTAGCCTAGCTCACTGCAACCTCAAACTCCTGGGCTCAAGCAATCCTTCTGCCTCAGCCTCCCGAGTAGCTGGGACTATAGGCATGCACCACCATGCCCAGCTAATTTTTTCTATATATTATTAGTTGGCCAATTTAATTTCTATTTATAGTAGAGACGGGTCTCGCTCTTGCTCAGGCTGGTTTCGAACTCCTGACCTCGAGCAATCCGCCCACCTTGGCCTCCCAGAGTGCTAGGATTACAGGCGTGAGCGACCACGCCTGACCTGTAATTAAGTTTTATAAACTGTGTACACTGTATATACTTCTGCCTTGTTCATTTGCTAGCAAAGGGTAAGTGTTCAGAAAAATGCTGCTTAATGATTCATTGCAAAAAATACTAACAGGCTGAGAAAAAGAGGGTAAGTTCTCTTCTGTGTCTTCTATTAAAGGAGATTACTAAAGCTACTGGAAAGGAAAGCTCAAGAACTTAACCTCAGCAATCCAGAAAATTAGTTACAATGATCTGCCATTTCTTTGTTTTCACAGAAAAGTCAAATGCCATTGGAATACTGCCCTCTTTTGAAGCAACCCATAAAAATAATATATACTGTGCTTTTAGGCACCCTGATGTGCCAAAAGGCTTTTTAATAGCCTCTTTCATAAAACTGTATGATCACATTTTCTGAAATAAAACATATCCACCTCCAAGTTGCCAAATATGGAGGTAAAAAGGACCAAATTTATATACATGTATACCTATTGTCTGTGTCTTAAAATCTGAGTGATAGCTGGGGTTTAAATCTATTTCATAGCTGGGCGCAGTGGGGCTCACGCCTGTAATCCTAGCACTCTTGGAGGCTGAGGCGGGCAGATTGCTCAAGGTCAGGAGTTCGAAACCAGTCTGAGCAAGAGTGAGACTCCGCCTCTACTATAAATACAAATAAATTAATTGGCCAACTAATATATATAGAAAAAACTAGCTGGGCATGGTGGCGCATGCCTGTAGTCCCAGCTACTCGAGCAGTAGGATTGCTTGAGCCCAGGAGTTCGAGGTTGCTGTGAGGTAGGCTGACGCCACGGCACTAACTCTAGCCTGGGCAACAAATCGAGACTCTGTCTCAAAAAATAAAATAAAATAAAATAAAAAAATAAATCTATTTCATTTCAAAATAGTACCTGTATCCTAAGGCTGTTTAACTTTAAGATAGAAATTAGAATTTTAGAAAAAGGAAGTCAAACTTTATTTCATTAATTCTGGCTAAAACTGAGGCTGTGGTTGCCAGTCACTCAATTTCAATGTTTTGGGAAAATAATAATCAAACTTTCTATTAAAGCTGGATATCTTATATTCTCTTCTCTTGCTTTTAAAAGTGATAAACACACACAACACAAATTTCTGAGCACAGATAGTATGCAAGTTTGTGTAATGGCGTTTAAATAAAACAATACATATGGCATCTAGCAAAGTGCTCTTACACTTTTTGGGTATTCCACAAATAGCGAATGTGTTCTAGTTTATGAGGCAAAATATCTGTAAGAGAGTCAGTGTGAACTGGGGGTGGCAGCATGCGCATAAGAAGGCAGAACTCAAAATCAAGTCATGTGTATATGTTAAAAGTCTAGATTTTAACCTAAAGTTTGGGGTTTTTTGAAGGTATAATATATACATATGACTGAAATTACTGAGTCATAGAGTATTCGGAAATTCAGTGTTAGTATATTTTGCCAAACAATTTCCAAAAGTGGTGGTCCAAATTACACTTCAACCAGCAATGTATGAGTGCTCAAGTTGCTCCATACATACTTACCAAAACTTGATAATTCTTTCTCATTTTGAACATTCTGGTGGGCGTATAACATTGGGTTTTAGTTTGCATTTCCTTGATGGTTAGTGAGGTTGAACAACTTATTACAAATTCATTGGCTAATACAATTGTTATCGACTGAAATATGTCCTAACCCCTTGTGACTCAGAATGTGATTGTATTTAGAGACATAGGTGTAAAGATGTAATTAAAGTTAACTGAAGTCATATGGGTGGTCTCTAATCCAATATGACCGATATACTTACAGGTAGGGGAAGAGATACTAGGGATACACACACACAAAAAGGAAAGGCCATATGAGGACATAGCAAGAAGGTAAGACCAAGGAGAAATGCTTCAGGGCAAACCAAACCTGCCAACATCTTGATCTTTGAATTCTAGCTTCCAGAATTGTGAGAGAATTAATAAAAATATATTGTTTAAGCCACAGAGTCTGTAGTATTTAGTTTACGGCAGCTCTAGCAAACTAATGTGACAATATTCTCTTTTGTAAAGACCTTACTTACCATGACAGACCTGGAACATTTTAGAACTAGTTCTATAATTTTATGAAACTTATAATACTTTGAATCATATAAATCAATATAATAACTTAAATTCATGATTGTTAGAGTCAAAGAAATAAAAAGAGTTACTTACCAGCTATAGAGTATTAAAACAAAATATTTAAACCACTAAGTATCCAAATACCTAAGCTAAACACTATTCTCAGAGGGAATAAACAATAAAAGAAACAACAATTTGTATCTATCAATCAATCTATCTATATTTTTAATAGCATTTTGAACATGCCTGAATAGTATATATGGAAAGCTTAATGAAAATCAGTCACTTAGATCCAAATGTCACTCTCAACTATAAACCCAAATAATTAAAAGGTCTCACATGCTGTAGGGGTAAAGGACACTGGCCTCGGTCCTCCGGGATTTATTGGTGGGAGTGGTGGCATGGTGGGAGGTGAGGATCTGGACTGTATCTTCACTTCCACAGGTGACCCAGGCATTGCTGGCACCCTTTTCTCAGGACCAACTGCAAAGAATAAAAAAAAAAAACAGAGGTCTGAATTTTCTACAAAATAATACAAATGGCAACAATAATTTGAAATACCAACATATTTTCCTAGAAGATTGGGAAGAAGCAGCTCAGTATAATAGGTTAAATAGTGGTCCCCCTCCAAAAGATAGTCTATGTCCTAACATCTGGAACTGCACATATTACTTTATTTGGAAAAAGGGTCTTTGAAGGTATAATTAAGTTAAGTATCCTGGGAGGAGACCATCTTGGATTATCTGGGTGGGCTCTAAATCCAATTAGAATGATGTCCTTAAAGAAAAGAAGAAACACATACACACAGGGAAAGTGATGTGAAGACAGTCACACAGAGAGAATGCCATATGATAGAGGCAGAGACTCAGTGATTGCATCTACAAACCAGCAAACTGTGAGAGAATAAACTTTTATTCTCTTAAGCCACCTAGTTTGTGGTAGTTTTTAAAATCAACCCTAAAAACTAAAACCAGGGAACAAGAACAAGGGGTAACATGAACTGAAAGTTAACAGTCCAGATAGATAGTGGCTGAGAAAGGAAGACACCAGGTTATGAATTTAGCTTACTTCAGATATATTCCTTTTTGACTTCCTTGATAGAGGCAGAGACTCAGTGACTGCATCTACAAACCATCTAAACTGTGAGAGAATAAACTTTTATTGTCTTAAGCCACCCAGTTTGTGGTAGTTTTTAAAATCAACCCTAAAAACTAAAACCAGGGAACAAGAACAAGGGGTAACATGAACTGAAAGTTAACAGTCCAGATAGATAGTGGCTGAGAAAGGAAGACACCAGGTTATGAATTTAGCTTACTTCAGATATATTCCTTTTTGACTTCTCCATATAAATGAATCAAATTAGTCGGGGGGCAAAGTTAATGCGGGTACCATCTAGACTGGTAGGCCTTAACCACATAACATGGAAATCGAATCACAATCAGTTGTATACAAATTATTACTAATGATGAAGTATTAAATTTTTATATATACCAAGTAGGAAGAGAGGTGGAGTCAATATCTTTGACATCAGGCACGCAAATGTCATTTGTTCAAAAAGATGAAAAGTAGAGCTGATTCTAAACTAAGCAGAGGCTACTTCACACTAAATGGCAACAAAATCCAAGAACAAGAAATTAGATAAAAATTAATGATGTTAGAATTAGGCCCAGGCCAGTATGAATCAGATTTGATACTGAGAAGTAACATTCTAATATCTTTAAGAAGTTATTTTTCCCTATCAAAAGGAACTTGTTACATACTTGGTTAAAAATACGGCCAGGGTTACCATAACCCTCTTTAAATTGAGTTATGTTTCTCAATGACTCTAAGCTTTTCACTTAAGTACCAGGTATTCATTCTCTAATAACTGTTGAATTCAATTTTAAAGTGCAAGAAATAGGCAGCAAAGGTTCATACGAGATATTATGTCAAAGTTTCCTTTCTGTGAGAGCACAGCTCTAAAGACAACACACGCAAAAGTGTTCACAATACTGGCAACAAGGCACATCTTTGCACATTCACAGGACACTTTTTAATGAGAAAAATATCTATTATTCTCATTTTCAAAAACTATTTTTATGCTTGTCTGTAGTGGCCACGTTTTGGAAAGAGATAAATGAATAATGAAAGTCAATCAAGGAGGCAATGCCCTCAAGTTATAAATCCTCTGACAAAAATGTGCAGCTCTCTGAGAACCATGTGGGGCGACACTTCGCCAGCCCTTCCCATCGCTCTGTTCAGGACATTTTCTTTGTGAAATTGATGGTCGTCCTGTCTGATTAGTGGACTAATGAGCTGTTGCACTTGCCTTTTTCTCCCTGGCAGTATTTTCTCAATGCCCTTCAGAGAACACTTGACACAATTCCAGCTTTTCCATCTGGGGCCCAGCTTTCTGGAGGGGGTGTGGGAGAAGGGAAGGAAGGAACTGACAGTTGTCTCGCACTGTAATGTGTTGTATATAGTGCGCAACAACCTAGAGGGAGCCTTTCTGCAGACCACCTGCCTTTATAGCAAGGGCGCCAAAGGCCTGAGGAGGGCTCAGCAGTGAGATGTGTTTTAACATTCAGCACTTGGCAGAATAAAAAGTTGGAACAGCCCAACTGCAGAACACTGAATTATATGCTCTTACCAAATGAAAGCTTACAAGTGGGCACAACTCAGCCACTGGAGTACTGTTTATAGATTACCATTACCCATTTCTTGTTCATTACTCATGAACCTGCAACACCAGTGTTATTCCTCATATTTCAAGCAATAATAAAGCAAAAAAAGGCACAGGTATGGAAACCAAGAGATTTGGTGTGACTCTTCATTCTGTTATTCATAAGATATGAATTTTCTGGGTCTTGTTTTCAACATACATAAAATAAGCAATGAGACCAACCAGATAGGAAAGATGTAAGAATTATATCTTTATGCCAGACTAGTGTTAGCCATAAAGAGGGTGCTCAATAAACAGTAATGATGTTTAGAATGCAAGAGTCCTAGTAACAAATTCCAGATTCACCATTTAGCTAGGTATGTGACCATGTCCAAGTTAATATTATGCTTCCTGTGGAAAACGGGTTTACTATCAATGATTTACCCATTTAACCTCATAAATATTGTGCTGAATAACTGAAGAATTAACAGTTACAAAGGCACCAAGTACAAGGCAAGGTGCTATTTTTGTTAGAGGCTGCGTTGCATGAACGCCTTTCAGAGTGTGAGAGATCTGAGTATTAATAGTTTATAACATGATAAATTCAGCATTGCTCAAATGATGGGTAAGTTTCAAATGCCTTCATCCCAAAGTAGGCATTCTATCCCTCTGCTTGGGGACAAAGCAGGATCAGAGTAACTCCCTGTAGAATGATGACTATGACATCACTATTAGTGACTTTTTTCCTGAAGTTTTATAAAACTGATGGTTATGTGCTATATTCCAGCTGAATCCCTTGAAAGAACCAACTGTACCTTGAAATCTTTTCAAACCCCAGAGAAACTTATATAAATTTTGTTCAAGGAAAATAAATCTCTTTCTCTCAAGTGTATCTTGAGCCTATAAACACCACTGCTTGGGCCGGGCGCGTTGGCTCGGTGGCTCACGCCTGTAATCCTAGCACTCTGGGAGGCCAAGGCGGGCAGATCATTGGATTTCAGGAGTTCGAGACCAGCCTGAGCAAGAGCAAGATCCCGTCTCGACCAAAAATAGAAAAAATTAGCCAAGCATGGTGGCGCATGTCTCAGCTACTTCGGAGGCTGAGACAGAAGGATCGCTTGAGCCCAAGGAGTTTGAGGTTGCTGGGAGCTAGGCTGACGCCACAGCACTCTAGCTGGGGCAACAGAGTGAGACTCTGTCTCAAAAACAAAAAACAAAACAAAAAAATCCACACCACTGCTTGGCTATCAAACAGCCATAAAGTATTTGGTCCTAGAAAATCAAAATAACCCTTAGTTTTGTCATAAAGGTCCAACTCAACCCTAAACATAGATTCTAAGATCCAAAATAACTGACAACTTAGTCACCCTATCAGTTTCTGCTTTATTTTTTATTTATTTATTTATTTTTTATCCAGTCCCCATGGGGACCGTCAAAAATTGCCAATGCCGACTATATTGCAAGTCGTCATGGCGGGGTATTGGGAAAAGTTTTCAATTAGCAATAATCGCGCCTCGGATAAACCTCATTGGCTACGATACTGCCACTGCGCAAAGCTATCTGCTTTATTTTTAATATATTTAAATATATGTATAAACATGTATATTAAAAAATAAAACCCAGACATGATCACATGTATTTACAGAATTAATGATGTTTCGGTATCTAACCATGGAAAGCCAGAGAACTTGATGAGCCAATGCGGAAAAGTATGTCTCAATATTAATTTTATTTCTTTGCTTTGCAATATGCTAAAGATGTCATGAAAATGGAAAACAGATGAAAGAGAGAGCAAAGTAATAAACAGCTCTCTGTGTGATAGCAGTGGTATTTTTTCCTACATAGGAATTTGAAGAATCAAACATGAAACTAAACAGAATTATTCTATAGTTCCAAGAGAAAGTAATATTGAACATAACAATAGTCCTCCCTTATCTGTGGTTTCCCTTTACATGGTTTCAGTTATCTGCAGTCAACCACAGCTCAAAAATAAATGAAATTAAATTTAATGAAAAATTCCAGAAATAAACAATTCATAAGTTTTTTTTTTTTTTTTTTTTTTTTTTGAGACAGAGTCTCACTCTGTTGCCCAGGCTAGAGTGAGTGCCGTGGCGTCAGCCTCGCTCACAGCAACCTCAAACTCCTGGGCTCAAGCGATCCTCCTGCCTCAGCCTCCCAAGTAGCTGGGACCACAGGCATGTGCCACCATGCCCGGCTAATTTTTTGTATATATTAGTTGGCCAATTAATTTCTTTCTATTTATAGTAGAGACGGGGTCTCACTCTTGCTCAGGCTGGTTTCGAACTCCTGACCTCGAGCAATCCGCCCGCCTCGGCCTCCCAGAGAGCTAGGATTACAGGCGTGAGCCACCGCGCCCGGCCAACAATTCATAAGTTTTAAGTTGCGCACTGTTCTGAGTAGTGTGATGAAATCTCACACCATCCCACCTGAGACGTGAATCACCCCTTTCTCCAGCATATCAATGCTACCTTGCCTGTTGGTCACTTAGCAGCCCTCTGGTGATCAGATCATTTGTGGGGGTATCATAGTGCTTGTGTTCAAACAACCCTTATTTACATAATAACGGCCTCAAAGTACAACAATAACGATGCTGGCAATTTGGATATGCCAAAGAGAAGCCTTAAAGTGCTTCCTCCAAGGGAAAAGGTGAAAGTTCTTAATAAGGAAAGAAAAAAATTGTATGCAGAGGTTGTGAAGATCTACGGTAAGAATGAATCTTCTATCTCTGAGATTGTGAAGAAGGAAAATGAAATTCATGTTAGTTTTGTTCGAACTGCAAAAGTTATTGCCATAGTGCTTATCAAGGCTTAATTAAGATGGA